TTAGGCTTCGTTATTGGCAGGTAATCATTCTCTACCGAAGTGTCCTGCGGAATTTAACATGAAATTGGCTTCTTTAAAATCACGCCATTCTTGAGCAAAGCTCGTCAGGTCTGGAATTCATTTTTTTTATTACAAAATCATATTATGTGACATTTATAGCTCTAGTCTCTTTGTTTAAATTCAGTAGTCATTTTTGTCTTGCTCTTTAGTGGCCTCGTTTATACGCAGAAATGTATACTGTGTGAGTGCGATGAAAAGTATATTTACATTATTGCCTAAAACTATAAAGTTGTTCAATTTATTACTACACCAAACCGCAGCAAAACGTGCAAATAACCTTAGTTTGGTTATGGCAACTATTAACGTACGTGCAAGTTTATTAGGACCCCAACTAAATGTTGACGATACTTTCATTCGACATGACACAAATAAACTCACAAAAAACCTCACGATATCTAAAAATTTAACAATATTTACAGCTACAGTTTATACAAATTGCAAGCGAATATTTTAAAAGTTCTTTTTCTGCAAGTTTTTCAATTTTGTTAGGTAAAAACAAGATCGCTATACACTCTGTAAGCCTTTTGTGTGAAAACTGCTTCCAGCTTTGTTCAATATTCTAGTTCAAATTCTTTACTCTTTTGACTTCCTTAAAATGAGGTTCTTTGAGGATTTCTTGAAAACACATTTTAGCTTTCTGAAATTGCTCGCACTATCTAAATAATCCATCTAAATATGGCTTTAAAGAAAGAAGTGGTCTCCTATACTAATATTTAGTTTTAAGTTTGAAACTCTTTTTAGTTTTTAGAAAGGAAGAAAGTTAATGATTGAGATTAAATTTCCGAAATGACACCAAGCTGTAAAGTTTTATGGAAGCAAAAAATTACTATATTTATATTTCATGGCAATAAATAATATTGAGATGATTTTGTCACAAAATATTCCGATGAGGCTTTTTTACGAGCCACTAATAAATTATTGTGAATGGTTCAAATTGTTGATATAATCATTGATACAAAAGTTGTAATTTGGAGTATTCCAACCCTTTACCTGGGGATACATTTTTACTAATTTGTTTGTGTTTGTTGCCAAAATAATTCTTAAAAAAATCAATAATCAAATCAAAATTCTTTATTTCGTATAAAATAGACGATATTTACAAAATGTAATATATGCAATAAAAATAGGTTTTAAAATGTATTACTAAAAAAAACGAAATTAATCCCACATGGGATAACCCGTGCGTGGGAGTGAGTCGTATGATGTTTCATTAGAAAGAATTGAGAAGGTTTGATTAAAAAAAAAAAAAAAAATGTTTTACAAACCTAAATATTTTACCAAAGATGATTTTGCTAGAAAAATCTACAGAGTTCATGCATTGACTAAAATAAATTCGTATTCACTCTAAGGACGTACACTAAAACAGATATTTTAATTGCGCTCTATGATTTGATTACCAAGATTTGAATATATGAGTGAAAAAAATAATAAAAAATGTCGTTAACAAACAAACTTAAACAAATGTTTGGTGTCGAATATTTTCCTAAAAGTTCTAAATGTTATAAATTTAATTTTTTGGTACTTTTTTTACTTAAATAAATTGAGCGTATTATACATTACAAAGATTATGCATTTCGTATTCTTATTCTGGGGTATTGTTGAATGCTGAAAGTCTGTCTCGACTTTTCGAAAAGCTCGGTTTTATGGTGAGCTACTTAACCTCTCAACCAACCCTTCAGATGACTTACCAACAATGGCGCAACCCCCCCCCCCTTTGACTCCTCTGCCATAGTTTATTTCATCTTGCTGCTGTATGTTCTCTATCTCTAGATATATTTAATATACAGTACTATTTCTTTTATATTTATTTCAGGTTATAGCTGAGCTTTCGAATGAATATATTGTTCATCTAATGATAGTTAAATCATTTGGTGGGTATATCACTTCTAACAGAATTCAGCTCTTCTTGATGATTGAATTTTTTTATGGTCCTGGAAAAAGTTACAGCTGATCTTAGTTAGAAACAAAGGTTATGTCGGGCATCTCAGTTATCCAACAGTTATCGTCCATTCATAATTTGGGTTAAAATACCCTTCGTAGCTTTTCATCTTATTTAGGCCTATTTGGGTAAACTATTCTTCAAGTAATGAAAATAAAATTAATAATATATTTAAACTAGTTGTTCTTGCAGAGCTTCACAACGGGGCAGTATAATGTGGCTCTCAAGATCTACTGAAAAAACTGTTACACACACTTACCATGCGAGTTAAACAGGCAAATTCCAATCGTACTTATTGCTTTTTCCGATGAAAATCTCTAGTTTATTTTCACTTCTGACCTTTAAGAAGGTCCCAGGACTAAGCCCTGAAATTTAACACGAAATTGTTTTGGTGGTGTTTAAACGTACTCCATGAAATCCTACATCTACATACCAAGTTTCGTGGCCATCGGTCCAGCGGTGTCTGAGTTTATCACTGCCAAATAAATATACAAACAAACCAACCAACCCTCTTTTATTCTTATAGATGAGGTAGAATTACCAACATATTGCCATTTAAATTTAAATTACTAATTAAGTTAAAGGATACCTCCATAAAATGTTTTTCAAATTCAGCATTTGTTTACTAAGATACATGCACTTCGTGACCTTTAATTCAAACAAAATATAAGGATTTACTATATAAATCCATAAACTTTACTACATACCATGTATTCATAAGAGGGACTTACTAACTTTTCATTTCACAACTTTTATCAGTGTTCAAAGGATAACAAAGTGTTCCAACAAATTTCAGCTCAAATAATGTTTGTTCAGTAAATTTCACCTTGACAAAAGAAGTGAATAAAGAGGCACTTCTTGGGAAGGAAATTGCCATCATTATTCTTCCATACAGAGACTCGGTCCGATAAAAATGTTCCTGATAGCGCCTTCTGTACTTGTGAACTTGAATAAGTCGAAGGTAATATTTTTCTAAACGATCGCCTAAATATCTGGGTAGCTGAGTGGTTATAGTACTCACCTGGTAATTAAAAGGTCCCTGGTTCGATTGTAGAAAAAAAATAGCAATAGTTGGTCAATTAGTTGGTGGTTCTAAAAGGTACCCAGCTGTCCTTGATCATTGGACTTTAAATTATTATAAATGGTCCTGACTAATGAAACAGCTGATCTTAGTCAGTAACAAAGCTACACAAGGCATCGTACTCCATTATACAGTATATGTTAAGTTATTTGATGTATAATTTAATGTATAAACAGTATTAGTTATTAAATATTAGTTTGAATATTGGTACGGTAAATATTAAAATGTCGGTATTAAATATTAGTTTGAAATATTTAATATTTGTTACTGCTCTCTTTCGAAGCATGGCACAACTCCGCTGATATGGGTAGGCCAACACTAAAAATCAAAATTGAAATATTGGTTAATAACGTTAACAGTATTTCACTAACCAGTTTAAGACCCTGCCTCATTCAAAACGTGCCTAAATGCCGTTGGAAATCGTACGAGTCAAATCCAACTAATAAATACAGTTTAGCAGAAAGCAGACCAAACTTTCGGTTCGTAACTCGATAAAGACATAACCGTAACTCATTACAAACTCGATTGTTTATTCCTACATACGAGAATCAAGAGGTCGCAGTATTTTGCATATTTATAAAGGCCTATGCAAATTCTCTAATAGAATCAGCCTCCGCAATTTACAAGTTTGTCCCGAGTTGTCCCCAAGTTAACCAATTAGTCGATTGTTAACAAGTTTTTCCCCAGTTTCTCTAAACTCATTTTGAGCCGCTTTCACTTGGGAAATTACTAACTAGATTGAGCACACTCGGGAACAATCTAACAATTTGCCAACTATGTTATTTTAAAGTGGCAACCAGGTCTTTTTCAATGAAGGAAAAAAATATGAATAAAGTGTTTTTCTATAAAGGATTTTTTATTCAGTAATTTATTGAAAATTTCATTGTACAAGACGGTAGGGCATTGATTGTGAAATGTATCAAAATTACCAAGAACATTTTATATTCTAGTTAAGCATTTTTAGACTATTATGTATTCATTTGAATAAATTTTGCTAACTTTACAAATGTGTTTGGAATGAATTTATGTAACTTTTTGCTATTAAAATGTATACTTTCTAATAACCAACTAGCAATGGTACCATACAAATGAATTGGCCTTTTTTTTAATATAGGCTACTCTTAAATATTTTTGAGTTGGTAATTTTGGCATCATCACTCAAAAAAGTTAACTCGTCCGGAGTTTCCTAGAGGTTCCAAGTTTTTCCGAACTTAACTATTCCTTGTTCGAAAAACGTTAAAGCAATTTCACCTCATATTGGTAACATTCAAGTAAACATAAAAGTGAATGCTTGCAGTGTTGCTTAATGTCTAAAGAATCAAATAGTATTTGAAATCTACTTTTGTTGATTTAGAAAGTAAATTATCATGTGGTCTGTCTTTGACTATAGCAATCCCTATTTCCATCCCCTTGTTAAGGTTCTAGCCAGTTACGGAGTAAAAACGAACTCCCAATTAAATGACTAACTGAGAATACCAATGTAAAATTAATGTCATTCCACAAGGGCAACTAACTGTAAAGAATTGCAACCTTAATGTCCATTAACAAAAACTATCATAAATATTTATGTTTAAAAAATTAACTTAAAAATTACAAGTTCAGTAGCCAAACTCCAGGAGAGAGACTTTGCAGACTTGGCAGTTTCATGAGTAAAAAATGGCTACATTTGGTCCATGTAGGTGCGATGTATACTAAACATTTAAAACCAACTTTATTGAGCTCGTCTCTGTTTAGACCATTGAACATGGCAAGATAATTTACCAACTAGTGAACCTTAGTCACTTGCAGTCGTATTAGTTTATTACTCTAGCCTATCAAGGGTATTTTTATTCAATCAATACAATTGAGAGCTTATTATTTAAGTTTCATTTTTATTCAGTTTTAAACTTATATAATTACAAAATAACAATTAAACACTATTATAACATAAATTGTGACTAGAATAATTAATGTATGGCTTTATTTACATAGTTACATGGTTTCATAATTATAATACTGATATTATCATTTTTCCCATAACATTATTATTAGCATGATTGAATCTTATTTTATTCTTCATATAATTTTATCTTTTATATTGGGAACGAACAGACTACTAGGGACCACTCTGACATTATAAGGTCTTTAAACCAATGAAACTGGCACAACCAATTATTGACATTGTCATCCTTCATTAAAACATAAGAATGTCCTAATAGGATTTTCTAACAGTACAAATATTAGGATTTTTTTAGGACTATGCGAATGTGGTTTAGATTCTCTCATAAAATTTTCTATTCTTGGGTAGATACTTGCCATACCTCCACCTCCAAACTACACCTGCTATCACTAAAATAAATACTAACATTGCCACATGTCTTGCATACTGCCACCTATACATTATTATACTTGATTGTGAAATGTCTCCATTCCATGTGGATGATAGATTGGTTTTAGAGCTACTTGAGGTATCTAGCACGATAACCTCACTTTGGCATTTTTCGTCAAACCTTAAAACCTGTAAATAAATAGTTAAGTTATCCATTTGCTTTGACATTTAAATTACATTGTTATCAGATTATTTCCAATCAATGTATTGTTGTCATAAAATAGTTACATTTTCATTTCATTTACCAACCCAATGTCCCATGAAAGCTGTACGGTATTTAAAACATGGCCAAGCAGATATTTGACAATAAATTACATGTCTTGTAATTTTCCAATATGTTTTTCTGCATCCAATGTAATCAATATTGTTAAAACTCAATCCTTTACACAATATCATAATGCTATGGCTATTTCATTATTTATACCACGCGTATGCTCCTTACAAAACACATAAGTTAAACTAATGGAATTATAACTCTTTTTTCAATTGACAATTTATAATTTTGGTCATTGAAACGTTTTAGCATGAAAATAATGTTACCTGTATTCTGTAGACTGTTTCAGGCAGCAATGACAAAGTGATTGTTGAGGCGTTGGTAAACACGTTTCCTTTGACGACACCTTCGCTCATTGTCCACGTGACCATATATGACGTCACTCCTTTGATCTTTATCAGCTGATTGTGATAGTGTCGCCAGCTGATTTGGACAACAACCAATGGCGGTTGTTGGAGAACTGACTCGATGCTTAACCTCCAAGGTGGTGAACACGTGATCTGTAATTTATGGATTTTTAAGGTGCGATTCGCAATTTTTAAAACTTGAAAACTCTTCGTTGATGGAGATAGTCTACAGTTCTGAAAGATAAAGTGGATAAAAATAAGGACAAAGAAATTACTAGCAAATGGCATATTCGATTATCTGTAGTTCTGGATGAATGGATTGTTGGATTCCCTCCATCATTAAGCCAATGATGGCTGCCATAACAATCTGTGAATCATGAATACAAAATCACACATTTTTCGATGCATATGGGGTTTTGTGTGTTTGTAATTTATATTTATCAGATTGCCTAAAACGAGTTTTACATAACAATGTTATTCGTGGACAAAATACAAATTTCTTACGCTACTTTAACACGAGTTTAACAATAGAAAACCTCGAGGGGTTTAGTGGGGGGCGCAAAGAGACGAGGTTTGGAAACGTGGTACCTATTGAAAATAATTAGAATACAAATGATTTCCCTTAATTGCCTAGATTGATTTTTCTAATCCTAAGCCCACTAATCTTACCTTCAGGTTCGTATGGTGTGAAGAGTTCTTTGGTAGGTTCCCATTAAATTCTCCTTCCATCCCCAGACTACGAAGTATGCGCAGCGTCTGGTCTATAGGAGACTCTTCAACAGGGCAGAACACCTTGACCAACCCTCGCCAGTCCACCACCAACACTCGCACTGTGGAGGGGTCTACAGAGGGTGGGAGAGAGACAGAGGATTGAAGTGTCTGACACAGCTGAGTCCCGTCAGTCATCACCACATATATGACAGGACCTGGGGTAGGCGGCCATGACACTGTGGACTGGTTGACCAGCATCTCCTCCAGCGGCGCTGTAGAGACAGGTCTGGGAGGTGGAGAGTGGAACTGACACGCCTCTAGACATTCTGAACCCTGGAAATACGGAGGATGTCAAGTCTGACAGTCATCACCACATATATGACAGGACCTGGGGTAGACGGCCATGACACTCTGGACTGGTTGACCAGCATCTCCTCCAGCGGCGCTGTAGAGACAGGTCTGGGAGGTGGAGAGTGGAACTGACACGCCTCTAGACATTCTGAACCCTGGAAATACGGAGGATGTCAAGTCTGACAGTCATCACCACATATATGACAGGACCTGGGGTAGACGGCCATGACACTCTGGACTGGTTGACCAGCATCTCCTCCAGCGGCGCTGTAGAGACAGGTCTGGGAGGTGGAGAGTGGAACTGACACGCCTCTAGACATTCTGAACCCTGGAAATACGGAGGATGTCAAGTCTGACAGTCATCACCACATATATGACAGGACCTGGGGTAGACGGCCATGACACTCTGGACTGGTTGACCAGCATCTCCTCCAGCGGCGCTGTAGAGACAGGTCTGGGAGGTGGAGAGTGGAACTGACACGCCTCTAGACATTCTGAACCCTGGAAATACGGAGGATGTCAAGTCTGACAGTCATCACCACATATATGACAGGACCTGGGGTAGACGGCCATGACACTCTGGACTGGTTGACCAGCATCTCCTCCAGCGGCGCTGTAGAGACAGGTCTGGGAGGTGGAGAGTGGAACTGACACGCCTCTAGACATTCTGAACCCTGGAAATACGGAGGATGTCAAGTCTGACAGTCATCACCACATATATGACAGGACCTGGGGTAGACGGCCATGACACTCTGGACTGGTTGACCAGCATCTCCTCCAGCGGCGCTGTAGAGACAGGTCTGGGAGGTGGAGAGTGGAACTGACACGCCTCTAGACATTCTGAACCCTGGAAATACAAAGAGGATGTCAAGTCTGACAGTCATCACCACATATATGACAGGACCTGGGGTAGACGGCCATGACACTCTGGACTGGTTGACCAGCATCTCCTCCAGCGGCGCTGTAGAGACAGGTCTGGAAGGCGAAGGCGAAGAGTGAAACTGACAAGAATCTAGACATCCTGGACCCTGGAAATACACAAAGGACAATCCTTGACTTGTAAATTTAGTAGTAGTAAAACCTGCAACACAATTTTTGGCCGTTATTGGAAGCCTCCTGAATTCAGGCCATAGAAGGATTCACTTCAAATATTTATTTTTCTCTAGTCTAACGAGGTAGGCTTCAGTCATTATTTATCAATGGAATGTTTAAGTCTGAAATTTGTCATAATCATAATTTCTAGATAACACAGTCCAGTAAGATTTTAACAATTTCTTACTGTGCTCAAGTTTCAAAAGTGTTGTATATAATTTAATCATGGAATTTCTTGAATCTAAGGTTTTAAAGCATCGATGTATTTTCGCATTTTTATTATCTATTAATTCTTCTACCCTTTAACTTACTGAAGAATCGTAAAATATAGATATAAATAACCAGACTAAAACCATCATAGCAAATCCGTTGTTATTATCATTTAAAAATCATAATAATAAAGACTTCATCGAGGCAACGTTTTTACAACAGGATTTAACAACACATCTTTGTAACTCCGAAACACACGAATCGAACTAACCATGTAGAAAGTGCTTTGTGGAGAAAGCAAAATGCATTTTCTAGCTGGAAGCCAACATTGCAATAACGTGGTTTCATGTCAAAAAAAACGTACGCAATCGGTTTTAACAAAGAGGACCGAAACAGTCACCGCCACACGCGCCCGGAGGCCTGACAGCAGAGCTTATTAGCGTATTCACGGTTGCCAATAACAAATCATTTCATTTATTTAATTAAGCACAAATTTTCCTTTGTCTATGTCATGTAATTTAATTATGTTTTTGAAGTTAATTGATGCACAAGTTGTGGTAATGTTGGGGTGTAAAAAATATATATAATGTATTTTACATTTTGATAAAAGCCTGTGTGAAGTATTGTTACTCAGAAACTGTTACCAATAAACATGCTGACGTTCTTGTACAGCGTAGCTTTATGTTAAAACTTGATTGCTGATTGGCAATACATTTAAAAAAACATATATGAAATTTTAGATGTTTTCCGTTTGTCTTAGCTTGATTTGTATCTTAAGTGTACGTTTTGACGTGAAATGTAACGGTTTTCAATACATTTCGCCAGATGATTTAAAAAAGCCTGATTACTTGGTCGTGCATTTTGTTTACCTTTTTTCATATTAGGCCCATTATAATATGTTGATATTCATGTTAAATATTAAACCACCTAAAGACGCGCGGAACTGTAAGTAGAACAAATTTGTTTAAGAAAAATTTTTTTATAAGGCTGATTGAATTTTTCTCTCCACACAACACTGTTCCAAACCAATCGGTACAATAAAATCCATCCTTATTCTTTAAAAGATTCTGATTTCTATGTTTTTGTGGGTAATCGCTATCACTAAATGAGCTGTTGATTATCCAATGATATACTAAGAGTGATTAATAGATAGACCCTTCTCTCTGGCAGCACGAAGCTAGATCATTATTTTCTACGGATTAGACCGACAATCGGAGGCGATTTATTCAGAGACAACAATCGGCAAAAGAACATCTGTTGGACGATTGCCGGGAGTTGTTCTGATAACGAAAATAACTCTCAATTAACGAAGCACCGATGGAAACGGAAATGTCTCGATCTTGGAGATCTGCCGGACCTAACACGACGTAGATAATGCCCCCGTCGCGGCAAACCTGCACGCCAGCATATTCGGTTGTTTTATTTGATTTTAGACGAAATATATTTACAAATACTAGACTACAAGAGTATTTTTTTCACTTTAGCAAAAAAGGTTAAGAAATTGAAAAATAACTACTAAATAACAGCGTATAATACAAATTCAGTTTTTTCTATGTTATCTAAAAATATCCATAAAACAATAAACACTAATCTTTCCAATTAAAAAGTGTGTTAGGGACTTATGTATCTGTAAAAAGTAAATAACCTAGTAGAAGGGGATCTATTGAATTTGTTGGGAAGGGCAGTATCAATCAATTGATGAAAACTCTGACAAATTTGGATCTAATGTCAAATTGTATTTTTTCTAACAATATAAAAACCAATAAGAATTTGGCCTACTGGGTTAATGGATTTTGCAAATAAAAAACGGCAGTCGCAATTGATTGGTTTTCCCTTTTTTATATTTTATGGAATAATATTCGTAAATTATTCCATTATTTAACGTTTGTTGTTAAATTATAGCTTCTTAACAAAACAAGCTTTAGACTTAATGTAGCATTGAAGTGTGCCATTAATTACCGTTTACATTATTGTAGTGTTATATATTTTGTAATTTAATTTCGTCTTGGAAACTCATAATCGACCGATGCGCTTAAATTGTAATTAATATGCATATGTAGATATTTTACTAAATTCTCTGCTCATTTTGATTACACATAATCAAGAATACATGTCTAAACAAAGTTGTCTAATTATTTACTTTTCAGCTGGTTTATATATTGTATTACTCCTTACAAACGCGGAAACACGTGGCAAATGTTTTTATTATTAAAAACTACAGCTAAATATACAAATTATTAGTAATTAGTCAAGGATTTGTAATATTCTTTGTTCCCATTATAAAATAACACATAACCTTAAAGTTAGACCTTTGATGTTAATTTACAAGTATCAAAAATATATTGCATATTTTTTTAAAATTATTCAACTACTCCTTACCTGTGAACAATTGGAAAACTTGCAGCAATCCAGCTTGGGTTGACTTGATTGCATCTGAAACACAAAAAGCAAAATTATAATTATTGAATGTTTTCTTAAAAATACAAAACTATATTTTGCTTTATGTGGTATAAAAGTCGATAATCTCAATACAAGTTTAATTTGTCTGAAGAATAAGATAAATGAAAAAGTTTCATAGGGATGTATTGAAAACAATGCACAATTTTTTTTTTATTAATTGGAAAAGTTTATGCACAACGTCCAAAATCATAAGGTATTGAAAATTGCAAGCTTGAGTACCCCAACAACACCTATGAATCTGGGAGTATTTAGTAATTTTCCTGATTTTATTTCTATCTATTGGTTTTCATGCTCAATCTTTACATCCTAGGATTGCCATTGCTAGACTCTATTCTGGAACCATAGAATAAATAAACCACTTTACACATTCAAGTGTGACTTGGAATGTCGCAGCATTATCATACAGCTACAGTTATTGGAGAATGGCGGGATTTGAACCCAGGATCTTGTTGATCAAGTCGCTCGGCAGCCGGTTCCACCGTATCTACAGTATTAGTAGTACAGTATATATTGAATTTAGTTCATGTATAACATTTTTTACATAGAAAAGTTAAAATGCATACTCAAAACTAAGCCTCATTCAAGTCTAATAACGGATTTAGAACCTGTCAGCAGTTTCAATAATTACAGGTATTGTATATTAGCAATATAATAGTTAATGTTCCAGTTCAGGCTGTTACAATAAATTGTTAATGTTTGCATACATTATGGCTCATAGGCATACATATACACTTCATTCCAGTTTTTGACTTTGAAACATACTCAAAATGTCGTTACACCGGTTACCACTTAAATACGGGTGTCCGAAAAATGTGTTTAACATAAGTTTAAATATTGGAAAAAATATTTTAACTTCCGAACTTCCTTTAATGCCACCATCATTATGTTATTAATATTATTGTATGCGGAAATATAATCGTGCATTAGGGATTTTTAAGTTCTGATTGTAATTTGTAGTTATAATATCAAAAAATATATTTAAGATAACCATAAACTCAAAACTAACTTGATAGGCTATTGGAACAAACCTTTTTATAGACCAACTACTGTTTCGACTCATAATAATCGTGGTTTCATACCATCGCAGTATATTTTTCTTCATACGTACCAAATTAATTTCGTTCTGGCTGAATATGGCAAATATTTGACGATAACTATTGAATCCACATTTACATGACATTATGCCATACGACTGTTGTGACTGAGGCTTCTGTATTTTAAACTGATTTTTACTAGTTTATTAATTGGTTTGACGTCAAGTTCACGAGTTGCTGTACATATATTAACCATTTATGAACTCTAATCGTTATTAAGGTTTTAAAATACCACCTATTTTATTTCACATTTCAAATTTGTATTCAACGTAGGGGAACCTTAACATAATATTTTGCCTTTTTGGTTTTTCTAATAACCGTTACCCTTCGTCTCATGTTTACTTTACTAGTACGTTTTACCCTTTAAATAAATAAATACTTATTTTTTTATTTTTTCGATAAACAAAATGGCATTATTTACTTACATGTTGTTTTATATTTGGTAGTTGTTTATTTTCAAAAGACGGTCGAAACACAACTGCTGTAATAATTGAAACGCTCGAAATACTGTATAATCTTAATCATAAATAATCTTGGTATGGATTTAAAATGTATGGCTTACTTTAAATAAATTTTAAACCATGCCCACGTGTAAAAAATATTGAAACCCCCAGATCACTGATTGTAAATAAATTAATCCACAAAAATAGTTAAAGAAAATATCGACAATTGCCTCCAATAAATATTTTAATTTATGTTTTCTAATACAACTAGATTAATAAAAATGCACAATATGCCATAGGGTTTTCAAATGGTGTATTGGACTGGCTGGGATCTTATCTGTCAGGCAGGCGGCAATGTGTTGAGGTTGATGACGTACGATCTGACTGGGAGACAGTTACTTGTGGTGTGCCTCAGGGGTCAATCCTTGGCCCTCTACTGTTTGTACTATACATAAATGACCTGAGCTCAGTCCTCACACACTGTAAATACCATATGTATGCCGACGACTTACAGATTTATACGCATTTCTTAGCAAAATATATCAATGACAGTGTTCTAAAAATCAACGAAGACATCGAGAAAATCATTACCTGGACTGAAAAACATGGACTTAGACTAAACCATACAAAAACAAGACCAATAATAATTTGTCATTCACGTTTACGAAACTCAATTGACCTTGACACAGTGAACTCAGTAACTATAAATGGGACAGCTTTACTTTACTATGACAAAGTGAAAAATCTAGGACTTACTATAAACTCGACGCTTACTTGGGGAGATGCAGTATTAGACATACGTAAAAAGGTGTTTGCATCAATCCACTCACTGAAGAAGTTACAGAATTTTTTACCTTTACACATAAAGTTACACCTAGTAAAATCACTTGTCTTCCCTCACTTCACTTACTGTAACTCTGTGATCAATGACATGACTGTAAATCTCGCTGATGCTCTCCAACGCACTCAGAACTACTGTATAAGATTTGTTTATGATCTGAGACGTAATGAGCGCATCACTCCTTTTTATGTTGATTCTAAATTACTAAAACTATGTGACCTAAGATCAATAAAAATTCTTATCATAACCTATTCAATATTAAAAACAAAATTTCCAAAATATTTTTTAAACGACTTCAAATTTGTAGCTGAAGAAAGTGTAAGAAATTCACGTTCTGCTTCAGTAACTTTGCGTATGCCTCATCATAGAACGGCAGTTTACGACAGAGCGTTTGTTGTTTCTGCTTGTCGCCTTTGGAATGATCTCCCTCTAGCCATAAAAACCCTTGATAGCCGTCCCCGGTTTGTGACAGCACTAAAAAATCTGTTTTCTGGACGTATGGCCATGGTTGGTATATCCTAGGCGTGCGCTTGGTTGATCACTGACAGGTGTGCGTGTGTGTGTGCTAGTTCTTGCGAGTGTGTGTTGTGTGTGTGCGTGTACGTGTGTAGGTGTGTGTGTGTGTGGGTGTTTATGTAAGGTGGTATGTTTTAAAAGTTATGTTTCTTTTTACATTAAATATTGTAAATAGATTATAGTATTTTATTTGTATTGTACATTGTTTTGTTTTATTTGTATGTTTAGATTTGTATAAACAGGTTAAGTGTAAGAGAGGGCCATGTGGCCCTAACTTTGCCTGACTAAATAAATCATTTTCATTTCATTTCATTCATTTCATTTCAATATGCTTTTTTCTCAATCTATAGATTATTGAGTATATTTTTGCTTCAAAAACGCATAGTAAGAACAATTGCAAGAGAATCCTACTTATCACATTGTAAACCAATCTTTATACAACTGAATATACTCACACTGCCTGCTCTGTTCATTCTTGAGTCTGCAGTGACAGTTAAAAGGAAGCCAGAACATTTTCCAAAAAAACTACAAATCCATAACCATTCAACGAGGCAGAAGGAAATGTTACATGTATCACAAGTTTCATCCAGTTTAGTGAGAGATGGACCAAGACCTACATGCATAAGAATTTACAATAAAATTCCAGCTGCCATAAGGGAAATTGAAGATGCGGAGAAGTTTAAATCCAAGTTTAAAGAATTTTTTTCACGACTAGGCCTTACTACTCAGTAGAAGAGTTCTTAAATCAAGAATAGGCCAAAACTTGACGACCATGGCACACCCGTGCTACTAATGGGATACCTACAATTAAGTAAGTAGGTATTAATGGTTTCATTCAACAAGTGACATATGTTTAAATAATGTAACTTACCTACAATATATTTTTAACACTGCATATATTTAGCTTATATTTTAAATCCAAATTAATACAGCTTTGATAAACACACTCTTTTTGTACCTACTTTAATTTTAACAAGCTTTATCTTGCTATCTTTCTGAACATAAAAATTGAATTCTTACCTTATACATGCAAAATGCTTGACAACGCGCTGACGCAATAGTAGTGTCCAAATCAATGTTGCTGTTTACACATAAAGCAAACGTAAAAATTACTAATAAAATAAACCACCAAGTGCACATTTCCGTCAGCTGCCTAATAATTTTTAGGTCATTATGTGAATCGTTTGAGGGTCAGAATGAAAAAACTATAGATTTGGAAAATATACAAAATAATTAATATATTTAACTAAACTATTTTTAATTTAAACCCTGTTTCGTCTTAGATTTTGGGCTCGATGTTCGCTCCTCACGGGTAGAAGGTCGGTACGCAACTGAACTGAAGTGAGTTTCTTTTATCACAAACTCTAGTTCCGACGCCGCCGCTAGGTTTCAGCACTATCCGTCTGCTTCAAACAATGAGGGGTGGAGTTTGTGTGCCTCCAAAAAGTAAGTACCTCCCCCTAAAATTAAATATGAAAACTCATAACCACTTGTATGATAAGTAAATTGATTGTTGGTTCTGAAACTCGTTACGTCTGTAGCTATTGAGTTTTTAATTTTAGTGTTTTTTTATAGTGCTTAACTTGAAACTAAATTTTAAATAAATTAGTTTATGAATCAAACATATATTTTTTCTTAATTTTTTACGACATAATATTCAATACATGAAGAAGAATCGAATTGCAAGCTAGGAAAACAGGTAAACAATAAAAACAGATACTCTACAAAAACAAGTTTAAAAAAATGGTAAAAACATGTTCATTGCCTCCTCTTTTTGATGATATCATTGACTGTTGGATGCTGTTACTTCATACTTCTTTTCTTCATCTTTGACCAGCAGTTGCTGGATAAATTGAGTCGATACTAACTAAACTAATAATTAGAACTATGCAGTCCATCGTCACAAAGAAAAATAAAAACTTAAACTTGAATTTACTGTTTGAATATTTACAGATTGGCGGCAGGATTTATGGTTTTTTGACCTCTTCAAAAAATTCTTCAATAGAGAAGAGAGGTGTTTTTTCAGCCATTTTTCAATTGTTCGCTTAAACTTGCGGGGATCAAGATCCTTGGTACTAGCTGGCAATGCATTATATAGTTTCATTGCTAGTATCGGGAAACAGTTTTTCTTCTTACTTAGCCTACATAATGGCACATCGAGTTGGTCTTTACCTCTGGTGTTGTAGGAGTGTTGTTCTGCTCGTTTTGTAAGGGACAAGTTGTTCTCTTTAATGTAGGTCAAACTGAGCAAGATATACTGACTATAAATAGTCAGTATACCCAGTTTGCTGAAAATAGGCCTACTATGTTCTAGGTACTCAGCAGAATCGATCAGCCTTACAGTTTTTTTTTCTGCAGGAGAAGAATGTTTTGACATCCAGAAGAATGTCCCCACAACAAGTCAAGAGGCCATACACAATGTGGGTGTTAAAGAGTGCATAGTATACCTCGATTAAGGGCTTCTTGGACAGTAAGGGTTTTAGGCGTCTTAGCAGAAAAATCACCCGGGCAAGTTTAAGGCAGATTATGTCTGTATGACTGATCCAGGTCAATTTAGGGTCTAGGGTAAAGCCCAAAAGCTTAACCTCATTCAGGTCATTTGTCAGGCTGAGGCTGAGACTATATGTAATTTCTTGGGTTTTGGCTTCATTCAGGCTCAGTTTATTCGACGAAAACCACTGTTTAGCAAGACCGAAGGTGTCAGATACTCGCTCCTGGGATAAGTTTGTTGTATTAATAGTCAAAGATAATATACCGATAATATACAATGTGTTCTAATATTTTTGAATTTCAGAATTGCATATGTTTGGGATTCAAAAGAGTGTGCGGGCTGCTGAATTTGGGCTCGCCAACTCCAACAGTTGTAACATTACTGTTTGTATTATTATTGCAAGATGTGAAAAAATCTAAATATAATCTATGGCTATAGCTCCGCTCAATAGATGATATCTGGATAAAGCACTAAAATAACATAAATAATACAATGAATTATTTAGTACAATATTCTTTATGCAAGGACAGTTTAAATGGTAGAAAAAAATCAAATCTCATAACAATTACATTATCACAAATATTTATAAAAAATCGTACAGAATATATGAATTTTGAGCTTACACAAAGCATACTGGCTGGGTAGCTGAGTGGTTATAGTGCTCGCCTATACTAATCAAGAGGTCGCCGGTTCGATCCTGAGAAAAGTCAGTAGCTTTTTGATGGTTCGAAACTGGACCCAGCTGTTCCTGATCATTGGGCTTTAAATAAATGATCCTGGCCAATGAAACAGCTGATCATAGTCAGTAACAAAGCTACACAGATCATCTCACACCATTCTACACTCATCCTTCACTCATATTTGGGTTCAATTATCAATTATTTAAGATGGGGACGCCACTATGTGCGTATTTTAACCCAAATATGAGTGAAGGATGAGTGTAGGATGAGTGGCGCGATCTTGTAGTCTTGTTAGTGACTAAGGCCGACATGTTCCTTAGACACAGCTGTTAATTAATAGCCCATACAGCTAATGGCAACTAACGGACCTACAGTTTATTGTGGAATCCGAACCACATTTTTTCCTCGTAATTAACGAATTGGTCTAATTATTTAGGATAGTACTGCGGATAGTCGTAGTACTCACTAGTGCGGACGTTAATCCACACCAGGTAGCATCGCATCCACAGTGCATCCCTATAATTATCCACAATTCGTGACCTCCTAGTAGCTGGATTACAGGACGACGCCACCCGTCCCAGTCAAATACGCACCTAAGTGGCGTCCCCATCTTAATGATTGATAATTGATAATTGATACAAACTTACTATTATCGTATTACCAAATCATATAGAGACAATAAGAAAGTGAAAGCACGATTTTCGACTAGATTAACTTTAGCAGACTGGCCAATAAGGTATTTAAAACAGCAAACAACAGTAAAATTAAAACCACGGATAACAGAAACCAGTTCGAATACCTAGTAAAGCAAAACATGTTATACTCATCTCTTAAATGTAGTCATTCCCATGCTTACAATGAGGTCACGTTGCATGGGAAACGAGATAATGGGTGACAAATTTGAAACGATTAAACTTGGATGGAATTCTTGAGGAATAGTTTAGTTAACAGAAATAGTTTGGCAAGTGAAGCTGGTGTCTCCCGCTAAACTTGTGTTGACGTAGGAATTCTGATAGTTGAATAATTAATTAACGTCAACAACATGAATGCCTAGTTAGATTAACAATTAGATAATCTCTGGAACATAATTTAACAATGTATATAGCATTAACTACTATTTTTTAAGTCGTCGAAAATATTATGAAACAGTATAACTGCACTGTATTTTATGTCGTTTTTTTCCGGGTAAGAATGTTTCAATTTAGGGTTATGTCCGTTAATGCAGATAACTCAACAACTTTAACTTTTAGCTCTGTTTGTGTTTTATGTTACAAACATTGATCATTATTAGAAAAATATTTAGGTTTTGAAGAAATTTCACAGCCAAATGATTGCATGCAATACAGTGGAATATGTTGAACAATATCTAACTACTGTAGTAATATTCCAGTACAACATTTATTTGTGTGAGTATTAAACATAAATGCTGTATAGATATCGCCATGATGCCCTACCCATGATTTGCGAGCAATGTAAATTATATTTTTCAAAAACATTTTAAGTCCATGAAAATAGAATAATAAAATGGAAGAATATGTTGCTATTACGACTGCAAGCGGATGTCTCATCTTTGAGCGCTTTGCTCCTATCTAATTAAAAAGAGAAACAACCGCTTATACAGGGTGTCCCGGAACTCTCTACCAATATTTTAGGGCATTGATCCTGGGTAAGAAACGTATCTAAATATCATATTTAAATTGTCCGGAAGTCCTTAGTTACTCACACAGCCGCCATTTGGGTTTTTACAGTTATTAATTTTTTTCTAAAGAATGGTTAAACATACGAAATGGAAACTTTGCACAAACATTTATGGCAACTAGACAAAGCTACAAAAAAATTATGAAGATTTTTCAAATTCATAAAACAAAATGGCGGCCATTTAAAATTTTCTTTCTTAAATAGCTCATTGATTTTGATAAACCATTGATTTTACAAAAATTTTAAATGGCCGCCATTTTGTTTTATGAATTTGAAAAATCGTGATAATTTTTTGGTAGCTTTGTCTAGTTGTCATAAATGTTTGTGCAAAGTTTCTATTTCGTATGTTTAACCATTCTTTAGAAAAAAATAACTGAAAAAAACAAAACGGCGGCTGTGCAAGTAACTAAGGACTTCCGGACAGTTTAAATATGATATTTAGTTATGTTTCTTACCCAGGAGCAATGCCCTAAAATATTGGTAGAGAGTTCCGGGACACCCTGTATACTGTTAAATGGTTAACATAAATTTTTTTAGTCGGAAAAATAACAAAAAATGGGCGATACTTGTAGTCAAATCAAAATACATATGCCACTCATAAGCTTCAATGTAGTCTTAAAACTTTCTTCGGCCAATGAATAAAAATTATACATTTATAGTAGGAGTATGTATAATACATATGCTCTTGATTTTAATAGATCAAGTAGTAGCTGTAGTCTAGTTTGGTGTGTCTTTAATTTTGGTGACGTATGATGCGCTGATTGTAGCCTTTTCTCATTATTTTGGGGTATATTTTACGATTTTTGTATTGTTTTCGGCTATTGCCGTAGATAGATTCAATAAGCTACCGAAGAACAACCGTAGTTCCAAGAAACAATTCTTATATTCAGTTAAAATAACTTAAAATTAGTGAAGTAATTATTAAATAGTAAAGAACAAACAACACGAAATACTGCATAGGCTACACCAACCGTATAAACCCCTTAAAATGTTCTTCCGTCGATCTATAAGGATAAAACGTCTTTTTGTCTAAGTCAAGTCAATAATATTTCTTGGTTGCGAGCGAATAAGCTTGGTTTACAAAACGTGCTCTCAGAAAATGGTAATAAAATCGGGAAACTCGGTGTGGATGGAACAAGAAATTAGAAGAGTCGTTAGAGAGGCAATTTACCAGGTTTTACTGTAATGATTGTGCTCCTAGCGGCAGTATAACATCGCTTCTCTCTAAAACGCTTTTGTAATTACGGTCATAACCTTAAAAGTACAACAAGCTTCATGATTAATCATTTATTTTCCTACAGTTTCATAGCAAAGCCGTTGCGTTATCGCTGATTATAAGACGCAAGATACTGTATCAGATTCCTGCACTATTTCACTCTGCCGCAATTGTTTACTCCTTATAGATTAACTTTGCCGCATTCCACTTTTTTTTAGATAAAACACAAAAAGATAACACTATTAGTAAATACAATGTATTCTGTTGTTTATCTGTTATGTAATTTCATTAATGTTAAGTATGTTTGAGTTTTATATTTTTCAACAAAATATAGGCCTTCAATTGATTAAAGTTTTTTAGTTAGAATAATAGTGTTCAATGCTCTAAGACCCTGATTATAAAACTTATTTTCATAATATAGTGACTATCTGTTAGACATAATTAATTTATAAGTAACCCTTAACCCAGCAAGGGTTCATGGTAATATTATGTTATGTTAATGTATTTTCGTGAAAATGTGTAACGTGTTTTTCAAGACGCATGACGACCTCCTAGGAGCGATTTTACGTCCAGCTTGACAATGATGCCATTGACATCGAAACCCATCACCGGAAAGACGACTTAAAGGATTACTTGGACAGAATAAAGGTAACTTAACCTCTTATATACAATTAGTGAAGTAATCCGGAAGGCAATAAACAAAATGAAATTATATTTTCAATGGTACAGACCAAAAAGCAAAAGCGTCTCATTTTTTACGATTCCATCAATATTTTATTTCAACTACTTCGACAAGCACAATATCAATAATTAAAACCTGGAGGTTCTTCAACTGAATACTTTTAACAGACAGTCTCTGAGTAATGAAAGTAAAAGGAATGCTTTCACTAAAATTAAAAGCAAACAGTTTGTTATTGGTGTTTGCCAGTCGCCCGTATACTTGTCCTCTTGGGCGAAAAGATAAAAACCATACATTAAATTAGTTCCCAAACTCAATTCCCTGATTTCCATTTCTCAATTTTCTGGGTACTAATTGTTTCTTTTAATTCAGCCAAATTCAACAATATTTTAACTACTTAAAGCAGTCTATGTTTTAACTAATTTCTTGTCTTCTCTCTATTGTAGCCAATCTATCTATCTATTGTAGGCAAGCATGTTTCTTTAAAACCTTTTTTCTCAGCTCGTGTGCATCGCAGGGAAAATCTATGCATACTGTTGGAAAGATATTTTCCTGTAGATGTGCAGAATGCCTTTAAAAATTAAAATAGGCTAACAAATAAGCACAAAAAATGAATTTAAAAACCTCAAAAAATTAACATGGATCATATGGGTTGCCATGATGGTGACGAAATAACAACAAAATCTATCTATCTATATATTAATAGGCAAGCATGTTTCTTTAAAACCTTTTTTCTCAGCTCGTGTGCATCGCAGGGAAAATCTATGCATACTGTTGGAAAGATATTTTCCTGTAGATGTGCAGAATGCCTTTAAAAATTAAAATAGGCTAACAAATAAGCACAAAAAATGAATTTAAAAACCTCAAAAAATTAACATGGATCATATGGGTTGCCATGATGGTGACGAAATAACAACAAAATGTAAACAGAAAATCAAAACAAATGGAAGAAATTCCAATCACATGTTTTATTTACAGTCTGGGGAGAAAATAGAGAAGTCTGTACATTAATTATTTTTGGTCGAGTTTCGACCACAGGACGACCACTAGTAAGTGATTAAAGCACAAACCTTTCTAAAATAAAATAAAAAGATTTATTTTACATTAACATGTTCATACGTCACCGGCATGGAACACATGTCAAAACAGCTTTATGGCTTCAATTGATTAACCGTGGTTTGGACATAGATAAAATCATAGACTAACCAAGGGGATATGACGTTTAATATCTATGATACAACCTTCTGTTGGTTAGTTTAAGGTTTGGATGAAGTACTGTTATTTCATTTTCGTTTTAGACGTAAAGTGTTTGGCGTGACTATTGCAAATTTGTATCGTCACTTAGGCCCAATATGAGTTATTGAGTTATTTAAGAAATTACTACAAGCAGGTGATAAGTATAGGCTACTGTATCATCCAGAACTTACCATACCTGAAACTTTGATTATTGATAAGATAGTCAATGCTAGAGCTATAAAAGCTATTTAAAGTTAATTATAGCTTACTCTTAATACTTTAATACTTTTTAATGAAATGGCGACCACACAACGTAGGTATTTTAAGCCAAGTATGAATGGAGATATAAAGAAAAACGTGCGTTTATTCGACTGGGCCACGAACCAACATGATTGGACAATAGGAAAGACGTTCTACGGGGGAAATATTGGGTTTTTGCCATTTTTGAAAGTTTTGCAATTTCTTTCCAAGCATTATGGAGCTTTAAAAATTTAATAATTTAATTGATTGAAGCTTTTTTGTACGCTTAATGAGTAGGCTACAAAGATATTTTGTTACGTGTAAATGTAATAGCTGCCATCTTATCATTATTTTAGGCAATATGTAAACCATGGTAGTTCACTTGTTGGATATATCTTGATCAAATTTGGAAAATGTATTTATATCAAACTAAGCTATTATTAACATTTTACTAAAAACACACTTTTTTAGTTTCACTGTAGCAGCAAACCTTACGTTTGTTTAAGTACTAATTAAACTTAGTGTTATTTAAAATTGAATAAATCGAGCATTTTAGTGATATGATAGTGAAAATCCAACCAGACAAATACAAATTCGCTCCGTATGCACATTTTCTGCGGGTGTAAATTAACGCGCTCGTCATTGCCACTTGGCTAATGACACGGTTTAAAATGTCTTCATAGCTATTTGGGATATAATTTACATGTCTTTCTTCCCTCTTTCCGGATATATAAAACATAATCGATAGATTAGTTAAAAGATATTGAAGAGGAGGACTATCAGAATAGTTTTGAACATGGGTGCGAGCGATATTTTCAAGGACATGCGCAAACTTTAACAGTTTACAATATTCTTCATAAGAATAACATGGGTATTTTAAATTTACAATTTTTTTACTTTCTCTGTTACCAATAATCATACAAAAACCACTTTGATATACTAAATGATTTGTTTTTCTTAAAAAATGTTTGAAGAGAAATTGGGAAATGTGTTTAGAGGGTCAAAAATTAGAAAAACCAATTTTTACCCTATAAACTCCCCCCCCCTCCCGTAAACCACCGTTCGAAAAATCATTAAAGTTTATCCCGTTTTACACCTTTAAGCCAAATTTCATCAAGATCGGACAAAAATTACTTAAGTTATCACGTTCACGGACGGACACACACACACACACACACACACACACAAATAAAATAAAATCATTTATTAACAAAATATTGTACAATTTGTATTGGCTCAGTCATCATTAATAAAAGTTGGCACATATACTTAAGAACTATTTACAGAGGTCTTATACAGTATTTAAAGTTATAAAATTGTATATAAAAATTTAGGCTACATCACTATTCATCGAGCTGATTTTATTTACAAATTCTTGGACGCTGTAACAGGTAAACTTTATCAACAAAGATTTAAATTGTTTGTTTTTAGATTTTAACAGATTTGGTTCAAGTTTAAGAGGAAGTAGAAGTGAAATAAAAAGTGTTATGAAATTGTACAGTAAGTGCTTCTTGAAAAATCTTGTTGAATGTTTAGGAATTGGTAATGTATGTGAATTGCGCAATGTGTATTGGTTTTTACAGAAATGTCAAATTTAGAAAATTCCCGTTTCACAAATGTTAAAGATTCAAAAATGTAAATGGATGGGAATGTCAAAATTTTTGAATTGAAAAAATATTTACGGCATGATTTGCACCTTTTTAGAGAGAAAATGTTCTCCCAGCTATTTTTTGGAGTTTAAACAACATTTTAGTCTGCTGGCACTCGAAACCCCAAATAGGAACGGCGTATGCTAAATGAAGATAAATTAGCCCATAGTATGCCGTCAACAATATCCAGATTCTCATTGTTCCTGAGGTTACGCAGAACGAAAATACCAGAACTGAGTTTTTTTTTTTAAGTATTTGATATGGTCATGAAATCTAAGAATCTCGTCTAAGATCAATCCAAGGAACTTGACGTTTGGTGTAGGGTGGACCTCAGTTTCGTCATAGATACAACATTTTCGTCCAGAAGGAGACTAAACCAACTGTTTGGTCGGGTTGAATGGTTCGATAAACGGAAGTTAATGAGCTGTGTTTTGTCTGTGTTGATTTTCAATAAACTGTCGCCAAACCCTTGAATTATAGCATATGCCTCCAAAAAACTAATTTGTTCCAGATTTAAAAAAATCGGAGCTAGAAACTGAGAGAGAGATGTGTCGTCGGCGAACAGGGATAACTTTGAGGAAGTTACCCAGGAATAGAGATTGTTATTAACAAGTAGGAAAAGGACTGGTCCCAGGACGGAGCCCTGAGGCACCCCCTTCTCAGCAACAGAATTCTCAGCAGAAGGGTAGGCTCTAACGTCCCAGCATAGATAAAACATTGTATGTTTTATCTATGGTCCCAGCCTCATCAACTGCCCTTATTTCTACGTACTGTATTGCCTCCTGCCACTCACAATCCTGACCCAATCTAAAGCCGATCCTCTTACGCCCATATTAATCATCCTATCGAGCAATAAGTTATGGTCCTCATAACTACCATATCGATATACATAATATGCTGTATACAAATTTGAACGAATGGTGTTTTTGGCCTCTATTGGCTAAACATTCACTAGACGTTTAACAAATGTATAACAAATATCTAAATACAGAATCTAGATATCTAATAAATATACCAAAATAAAAACAAACATTGATTATACATCTATTATACATCTATTAGTCATTGTTTATAGATATCTTAAGATGTCTTGTGGATATTTTAAGTATATCTAATGTAAACATCTACTAGATGTATATTTGAGTGACATTTGAACGTATAGTAGATATTCAATATATGTCTAGGTCTAAGATATATACATTCATGAGATATCTTAGATATTTGTTAAAGATATCTAATGGATGTATCATATATATCTTTGTGCTATATGGGTGGGGACATTAAAATGCAAAAGTAAATCGGTGAATCGGCCCCGGGTTAGGCATGGTTTAGGTCCTACCAGGCCACCTACGGTAATATTTACTTCCCGATAGAGAAATTCCCTAAAAAGAAAGAAAAGAAATCATTAGGCCTACCTGAATAGCATAAAAGCCCGGGAAACATGTACAGAACATCCGTGATATTAATGGTGAAATTGTGTTGCTACATGGTAACTTAAGCAAACTAGAAAAGAAGAAGAAGAACAATAATAAAAGTCTAAAAGTGAAACTAAAAAACAAAAAAGCGAATTGAATGAATTGAATTGAATTCTGAATTGGCATTGTCAAGGTAACGTAACTCGGTTCAGTCTGTCTTTCTCAACGTTTATCGCAATTGTTTCGAATTTCTCTGATACTTATTTTTATTGACTTTCACGCTTAACAATTATAAAAAGGTATGTATGACTTAGAAACTTTAACATTACGCGAAAAGTTCTTCGCTCAGTTTCACCTTAACCTCTAAATCTTGAAATAACTTAACTTAACTTAGGTCTTATTATTTTTGGCTTCGTAAAATATTAATGATTGTTAGAATGTCAGTTTCTTTCTAACAGTAAATTTGATAGGGTCAATACCCAAATCCCGTCAAACTTCAGCATAATTACAAGGGTTTTTTTTTATCTGAACACTACAGAATCAAGAATCACAACACATTTTCCCGCCAAAAAGAAACCCTAGCAGGACCAAGTAACTCAACTTATCTGAATTTAAATCTAACTAGACTACCAATTAGTTTATTGTTATTTATAAATATTTACAGACTATAACAGCCTAAGTTAGATGCCTTGGAGAAACTATTGCAATAGAAGGGACCTGTTTTTACCATAACAGGGATAGGCCTAGTTTAACCCTAGATCTGGCGGTCATTTTATTTCCCAGTGGCGGGTGTATTTTGGCGCTTTTGTAGTGGTATCATATATTTTGCCACAGAACATTTATTTGTGAATATAAGTAGGCCTACACACATATATATATTTTCTATTTCAGTGATGAATTTAGAATATAATAATAAAAAAATATTCTTTTCCTAGCAATGCGTTTAGGCGTAGTAGCAAAAGGTTTGCAAATTTTTGGATTATGCAAATTAGAAATTTCAAAAGCAACCCACAAGAAAACCACAAAATAATTTTTTACACATTTTATCTAAATGCAAAGTTTGTGTGAAATATGATTCCCTACGTAGAAATATCAATGCTTTTTAAATACTCATAAAAATAAAAAAAATAAAAAATAAATTCTTCATACGTATTTTCTTTTTTGAAAAACTACCAAATTTCTTTTTGTCACGTAGGAAATGATAGAATGCATCAACAAAAAATGAAACGATACTGTACAATAGGTAATAAATAGATCTTTCTGAAAATATATAGTTATATTTAGTTGAATTCTAAAATGTCTGAGAAATTTACGTCGAAATGTAAAATTTTGAAGAATTTTTAACAAAAACATAATATTTATGACATTTTTAAAAACAAAATAAAATTTTTACAATCAACCTTATAGATTCACAGGTAATTGTAGGGAATTTGTTGTAGTTTCAGAATATGTACTAATATTGTATACAATTTAATTGACAATCACCAAAAACAGCTGTTTTTGTAGTCAGGTGACAAAAACTTTCCACCGCCAAAATCTATTTTGAAATCTCTAGTTTTTCAAACTACCGTTTCTCAGTACATAATACTCACTCAATAATGTTTTATGCATGAAAATGAATCCTCAGAATCTCATCTTTCTAATGGTATAAGATTTATTGCGTTTTAAAACTGTTTTCATATTTTAATAATAGAAAAACCCGACCCATGTCATCTTGGTCTATAATCGACCAGCGCCACTGAGAACTCACGTTTTAGTGGTCTAAAATCGACCAGCGCCAGATAGAGGGTTAAGGCCATAAACATGTATTACTTTGTAGTAAAGCAATAACCTCATCAGTTGTGTTAGGCAAGTTAATTCTAGGCAGTCATGGATTTAATGACACAGCAGTAAAATAGATAGAATCTAACCTCAACAATAGAATTCAGAAGATAGATTGGAAGGGATTTTACCGGAGAGCGTCAAATACTGACATAAAACTAGTAGGCCTAATAGCAGTAGGCCTTGGTGTTGTCAGTATTTGATTATTGTCTTCCCGCTTACGGAAATAGCATTACAAAAGGTTACCTAGATAAAATTAAACGCCTACCTACAAAACGCATCAATGAGATTAATTTATAACTGTAGGAGAAAAGATCACATAACCCCTTAGGCCTACAGAAACGCTGCACACATTATGCCAATTAAAGAGAATTGTATACACCTAACCTGAAGCCTAATATCGGTACGCAAAGCTATAGAGCTCGGCCAGCCCGAGTACCTGTGTGAGAGGCTTCTCTCTTTCCAAGATGTCTCTGCCCGCAGCACGAGGCGAGACAAGTTGTTGCATTTCCTAGAGTCAGACATGAAGTGGGGCTCGGCTTTTTATACTTTGGTCCCGCCTTTTATAATGCTCTCTCTAATCAGGTAGGTCCTAAAGGGGGCCAACACTCAGCACACGTTTAAAAAACATTTTAAAGAATATTATTTGTTTAGCAAATTATTTAGTAACTTATTTCAAGTAAATGTATGTTTTTTTTATGTTTTTGAATGTCAATTATTGTTAATTTTTTGTATCGAAAATTCTGGTCATGTTAAAGTACCTAATGTTTGTCAAAAATTGTTTTTAGAAATTGTTTTCATAGATGGTTAGTATGGATTGTTTTTACATAGATTTAATAGATTTTTCATATAGATTGTTTTATAGTTTTTTTTTTAGTTTATTACGATTAAATACAAGAGTTGTTTTGAAAAACAGAATGTACTCTTCTGAAAAACGCTTGCTAATAGGCCTAAAGACCTTTTTATTTATTAAACCGGACAATTTTTATCAGCACATCGGTTTAACCGGTCTAGATCGGCAGGAAGTGGGTGGTACTGAAACGACTGTTCTCGTGGAAAATATTTGAGACCAGTGATCACGTGTCTAAATTAGTAGGCTAATAAGTTAATCATTATTGGCTTATATGCATTTAAATGGTCCGTTTCAACGAGATTTTGGAGATGTCGGTAAAAAACACAGGAAAAACCCGCTATCCGCACTGGCCTCGGTCCCGAGGAGTCCAGATAAGAGGGAGTCTACTGTAGGCTAGGCAAATATTTTAGGATGTAGGCAAAAGAAATAAATTAGAACGCTAGCGGAGCTGCAGTTACCATATAGTCTGGAGTCCACCGCTAGGAGCGCAGTGGACGGCACACACTGCTGCAGCGTCAAGCACTACCGAGTGTTGCCATGACAAGTTGGTAGTTGGAGCCAGGGTTGCCAACTTCTGGAGAATTCCCAGAATCCGGGGAGTAGAAGTTTGTTCCGTTATTTTTTTGTGTTTTAACAATTTTTGGGGATTCTTGAAAAAATTGGCTTTTCCGCCAATATTAAGTTACCGGTACAGGATTTCAGAATTTTGTACTTTACCCATACCTATTGAAAAGTGGGTCTGATACGTTTGTAGCATTTTATTTACAAGGGTGGTAGTGCTGGTAGCAGACAATGAGTCAACAACGACAGCGAATCAACGAATACTGAACATGCTCTAGCGTCACATCCCCTTCCTTGAGTATAGTCTATATTAACTCTAAATTTACGTATTAAGTTGGATCACATAAAGCCTAACTTAGTTAAACTTGTAATATAGTATCTAGCCTATATTTCATTCTGGATCAACATCTCCAATATAGGCTAGAGACTGTTTTTTTTTTTAAGTTCTACACCTTTGACGTAACTTATGAAGTCTTTACTATACTTTGTCCCGACTACCTTGGCACAATTAATTTATGAATGAATTGTACATTTTTTATTGAATAATATTGGTAGGTTAATTTATGTTTGTGTTTAGTAAAGAACCCTTTCTCCGATATTGGCAGTTTGTGTTAAATTTAGTCCTAATTAAGGCTACTAAGTTTCACTTTCCTTCCACAACGCTTTGTTGAAACTTGTCCAGCCTATGACCACTTACGGCACAGACTACGGTAGGCCTATCTAACTTATAGGGCCTATTTGATAACTGCACTCGGTCCAAAACAGGTCTGCACTTTTATCGCCAAACTGCTTTTAATTTCTGACATATGGTTGGTACATAAGTAGGTGTACTCTAAATCCACGTCTAAGTTAACTCAATTTTTCATTGTTGCAGATGTCGAGCACATCACAGAAACATCGCAACTTCGTAGTTGAGCCGATGGGGGACAAGGCTGTCACAGAGCTGGCTGGAATTGGAGAAGTTCTGGGGAAAAGATTAGAAGGTCAAGGCTTTGACAAGGTAAATAGTGTAATACTCCCTGGGGGGATTGACGTCCCCACTAGTGAGTACTACAACTATCCGCAGTCCTGATAATTAGGCCAGTTCGTAAATTACAAGGAAATAATGTGTTTCCGATTCCTTTATTAACTGTAAGGTCCCTTAGTTGCCATTGGCATTATGGGCTATTAATTTACAGTCCTGTCTTTGGAACATGTCCGCCTTAGTCAGTAACAAGACAAGATCGCAATACTCATCTCCATTCATACTTGGCTTAAAACCTTTGGTCGCCATTTCAGTTAAAAGTATTAAATATTCCTACTAAGTTGAAGCTTACAATATCATTCAAACTTTGGTTATGATTCATAATTTTTTTTCATTTGGGCCTATCTCACCAATATTTATACTAGACCTACTGCAATAGTTTCAGTAGATCACACTACTCTGTAATCGTAGATTAATCAGCTTTAAGTTTTTTAGCTCTTTTTATCTTCAAGCTAACTGCAATCAATAAAGTCATGGACTGATGGTAGTGTTGAGCATGATCTAGGCCTAGCACATCCTCTATTCCTGAGTTGCTTATCAGTTATTTCATTAAGATCTTTACATGCCTGCAAAAAAAAAAAAATATATATATATATATAGGCCTAACTTAGAATATTTGTTACATTTTATTAGCCCCAAGAACTCACTAATTGATATTTAAGTTAGTTATGTCCATTGAGTAACAGTAGCCTACTAATTGTGTAAACTAACTTTTTCCTTAAAAATCTCATAACACAAAAATCCACTTAATCTTACAAGACAAGTTTCTAGGTCTAGTTAATATTACGGTCACACCCAGTAAAAATTTAAAAAGGCTAGAAGCAAAATGCCAAATTTGAGATGCAACTCCGACAATCCACCCATATTCCATCCGAGCTTTCAACTGCCTATTTTAGGGTGTGTTCGGGTGCGTTCACAAAGAAAGCTGGTTTAAAGCACTTGTTGGCAATCGCTTGCAAGTTCCAACCGGCGTGAGAAAAATATACATTGTGTCAAGCATTTGCGTTCACAAACAAAGCTTGCTCCGGCTAGCAAGGCTGACAAGCACGCAAGATCGTTTTCTACTTGTTTTCTGTATCTTCTTAACCGAACCAGGCAGTGACAAACAACTGTGCAGTATCGATGTCGATGAACAAGATCAAGATATCTTAAGTCTTTAGAAGAGGGGCTATTTTGGACAAATGCCCCAAACTACATGCTAATGGAGTTTCTTGAGGATGTAACTAAACATGGTTTAGGCCTACTTCATCTATAAGAAAAAACCTCACTTTGTCCAATGTCCAATCAACCAACACATTGAACACAAATCTGGAGTCAACAAATCTGGATGTTGTTTTGGAAGAGATAGGGGCAGCTTGTGTGGAGTTTGTTAATTGAGGAAATAGATGGTGGTATTCTGCAAAACTCTCTTCTGCGGTTAGTTGCATAAACGCAGACTTTTTTCTACAAATTTTAATTTGACATTTTCAAGCAAAAATAACCCTTCATCACTTGATGAAGACATTGTCTTGAACAAAAACCTGGCTTGAAAAGCTTTCTCAAGTGCTTGGAGCAAGCGCTGAAAATACGTTATTTGTAACCAGCTTTCTTTGTGAACTTTGAGCACCCTTCACGAAGAAAGCTGGTTGGCAAGTTCCAACCGGTGTGAGAAAATTCTACATTGTATCAAGAGTTCTCTGACAAAACTTGTTCCGGCTAACTTGTAAATTTAAAGCCATAATGTAGCCAGGCGTTTAACATGCAGGATTTTTAGACCATGTGCAGGATAAATACTATTATTTTTCATCACTAGGAGCGATAGTGGCTCTTTTTGGTACGCAATCGTGTTTTAAAAGTTAGGCGCAGCTGAGCTTGGAAATACGATTAAGTACCAAAAAGACACTTTTGCTCGTTCTGTGGAAATAACCTTCTAATCGTTAGATCACATAATTTGAGGTTATGCAAAGTTTCCATCAATGTTTAAACATTACTGTTGTTTACAAACATAATTTTAAATATTGTGTGATTAAGGGCGTTTTATAATACACTGATAGAACTTTAAGGTTAAAACGACGATTTTGCAGACAATTTAGAGAACTAAAAACGGCTGCTTTCCGCACATTATGGTGGAAAATAAAACTTTTTGCTCTGACCTCTATTTTCAATTTTGTCAGCTGTTTTTACTTTCTCCCCCTATACCATAGTATATGGAGAAAGTATTGTTTTCGTCAAAATTTTCGAGTTTGAGTTTTGAGTGGATATATTTGTTTTGGGTCCCTCTGGACCCAAAAAAGTGGTTTTCGAAGTGATGTCTGTGTGTGTGTGTGTGTGTGTGTCTGTGTGTCTGTGTGTCTGGATGTGTACAGAGCTAGAGACTACACCTGAGGTCCGATTTCGATGAAATTTGGTATGTAGGTTCTAATCCATGGTATCTCCAGGCGTTTTTTTCATTTTTTTGAAATTTTGATTTTTAATGGGGATTTTCCCATAAAAACCCATAAAATACCGGAAAAATCGGATTTTCTCAAAAATGGCCCGAACGATTTTGATAAAGATTTAGTATGTTGTAGCCCTTTAAATTCTGAACAAAATGGTACAAATCCCATTTCTGTAAAAATTACGGTTCAAAAGTTATGGTAAATTATGTTATTTTCCCATAAGAACCCCATAAAATAACGAAAAATAGGATTTTAGACAAAAATCCGGTTTCGATTTAACATAGTATGTTATGGTCCTTACAATTTTGATAGTTTTTTTTTTCATTTTTTTGAAATTTTTATTTTTAATGGGGATTTTTCCATGAAACCCCATAAAATAACGGAAAAATAGGATTTTTCCAAAAATGGCCCAAAAGGTTTTTATAAAAATGTAGTGTGTTATAGTTCTTTATATTCTGAACAAAATGGTACAAATCCCATCTCTGTAAAAATTATGGTTCAAAAGTTATTGTAAATTATGTTATTTTCCCATAAAAACCCCATAAAATAACGGAAAAAAAGATTTTCCCAAAATTGTCTCGAACGATTTTGATAAAAATTTAGTATGTTATAGTCCTTTAAATTCTGAAGAAAATTGTACAAATCCCATTTCCGTACTCTCACCGCTTACACATGATAAAGGTTGTTGACAAACTTATGGGAGAAAGTATGTGTCAGAATGCTGATACCGTTTATTTTGGGTTGTGCTACCATAAATGGCTGTTAGCTAAGTTTTGGTCATTAGGCCTACTCTTAATAGCCACGCTATGGGATATCAGCCATTGGGGCTTGAAGAGTAAGTAATACAACTAATTTATTCTCTTAAGAACAACTCAAGAAAGGTCCCACTCAAATCTACAATCTCTTCAAAAAGGTTCAATGTACACCTTATTCATATGGTGCTTTTGTTTTCAGGCGTACGTTGTCCTTGGTCAATTCCTGGTGCTGAAGAAGAACAAAGAGTTGTTCCAAGACTGGATGCGAGACACCTGCCAAGCCAACGCGAAACAGTCTGCAGATTGTTTCCAGTGTCTGTCCGATTGGTGTGACGAGTTTTTGTAAACACAAACGACATGTACATATAACTTATTTTTATATCTATTAACCGCACTGTTGACAAATTCTTGTGTAATATTTTAAAAGTGAAGTTCTTCAACAAGTAGAATTTACGTTATTTAAATATTTTGATACTTGTTCAATTTTAATATTCGAGAGCTTTACGGATGTTGGAATATGTGCTGAAATAAGTGCGTTAATAAAACAGGAACAAATGAGTCTGTTAAGTCACTAGGATAAGATATGTTAAGTTGGATTAATAATTTTGCTCTAAATGTTTAGTTAATTTTGTGTGCATATGTTTTGTAGTTTTTTGAAAGCGCAGCAACTTTTCATATTACTAAACTTAAGAGTTGTTAAACACCTCTTCTCATTAAAATAAATAATTTATCGTTACAACCTCAGTTAAATTTAATTTTAATTTTTGCTGACAATGCTGCATCTTTTATCATTTTAGATCATAACTTAAATTTGTAATGTTTAGAACTAGTTCACTGAAAAATGCATTTATTAAATTTAACTTGTTTCCAGATTTGTATGACTGAAAAGTGTTGTAGTTCTATTTCTACCATTAATGTTCTTTGTTAATAAAGCATTTGGAAGAAAATAGATCTCTGGTTTTATTTTTATGACACGCTTATTTTAGTTAATTTTGTTACTCGCCCTTTTGACAGGCCGTATGAAATATTACAACTGTCAAACTTGATGCAACTATCCATTCAGTATTTTTATTAATTAATTAATCGGATTACAGAACATATTGTTGTTTTTACATAACCATAGCTAAAACATGGCTAACATTTATCAACACTATTTTGGGAAAGTGAACAAATGTTTTATAAAGTAAAATACAGTGTTTAATAATGTAGTTAACATGGTGAATAAACAGTACTGTAAATTAAATACAGTATACAAAAAAGAACTGCTGTACTGTGTATAGAGTACAGCAATGAGGGGTTCGGATTAGTGGACATTCGGATTACGGGGGTTCGGATTAAAGAGGTTCTACTGTACCAAAGCGCGTTAGGTGGAGTTTAAGTACTAAGGCGTGTTAGGTGGAGTTTAAGTACTAAGGCGCGTTAGGTGGAGTTTAAGGTAGGCCCAAATCCACTGGGGTATTATTTGCATTATCACACAGCTTAAAGTAATTGATGGTTATTGTAATTTAAACCTAAACTTTGCATCCTTGACTGTAGTGTTTAACTCTAACCATTAAACCAGTCCTGCTTTTGCTTTATTATTGATATTACCGCAAAAGTGTTATGTGATTAATTCAATAATGTAACTGAGAAAGGCTTTGGTTGTTTGAAAGTTAATTATTTTATTTTCTGTTTAAAAAATGTCAGAGAACTATTTCATTACAAATTTATTTGTATACAAGTAGTCCTTGCTACACAAGATTGACGAGTGCCGCACAACCTTACTTCATAAATTTTACTTGTATTATTTATATACTAAAAACTGAGATGTCATTTTTTTGTTATTGTGTGGTGTGAAGTTTTATAAACTAGGACAGCTCTGAGTCAAGGATCATCTTAATTTGCTAATATCTTTGTATTCCTTTACCTACTAAATTACTTTTTGGGGATAAAATCTGTAAATTGTTCACACTTTGTTGATCACCATCTCAAATTATAGTGAATGAAATTATACCTAGATAATTCCGATGATCAGAAAGGACACATACTGCAAACTATATTCTAATGAAAATAAATGATAAAAGGTGAAACTGCAAAATTCATCAACATTGCATACGGTTCCACTGTGGAGCATAGAATAAGATGGAAAACAGTGTTCAAAGTAAACAAAAAGTGTATTTCAACATTAAAATCCTATTCCATTGCCACAATATGAAAGAAGAACATTGGACCCTACTTGTTGCCCCAACCCCAGAGTCCCTTGACAAAGCCAGTGAGGCCAGCAGGGTTTCCTTTCTTGCCAGCATTGTCTACTTTGTCCTCTAGGTTTGGGTACTTGATGAGGTTGAGGGCCAAGTCGAAGAACAGAGGTTTACATGGGACAGGCTGCATGTCAGGAGGCAGCTTCACCACATTGGGCTGCTTGGTAGCCAAAGCAGGGTCTTCACGGTACTCGTCCAGCCTGTCAATGAGCGGAATCTGGGAACAAAGATGTAATTGAGTACCTTTACCCATACTTAGCTGAGATGGAATAAGAAAAATAAATGGTTTAAGGGAGAATTCCCATAAATACAGTTGATGATAGAGGGAAGGAGATTGGGAGAATACTTCGATTTTGGATAGATGAGGTGGCGGGGGGGGGGGGGGATTAAATGAGTAAGAATGCTGACGGTGGAGAGATAGAAGATAGGGAACCCTATAGGATGCTAATACATAACAACCGGAACATGAGGGGATGTGTATATTGTGATCCACTTGGTACTAAAAGATTCAATGCCACTTTGTTTTGCATTTTTCATAAGATGATACCATCTTGGACCATGGTTCATTCATTAGTTGATAAATTTAATGTGAAACAAGTACCTATGGAATATATTAATAGACTCACATGAATAAGGTCCAGCAGTGAATGGTTATGTTGTGACTGTGTGCTTCTACTAAAATGTATTAATTATTAACTAAGTATTGATCAATGTTATATGATAAATAATCTGTTCAAGTAACATTGAGTGTTACATGAAAAATATTTTCTTATGTGAGGGAGAATATCATGGTTCATGGTTGATACCTGCACACACTAATGTTATTGTATATCTAACATATATGGTACAGTAGACTAGTGATGGGCGATACGGGTCAATGTATCGATACTGCGTATCGATACGTATCGGAACATGGTGTATCGATACGTGTATTGTATCGTATCCTCATGTATCGATTTTTATCTGTATCGGATAAAATATCGTATCGTATTGTTTATTTATAATTTATATAAAAAAATTAAATATCTCAAATATACAAGCTGCATAGACAAATACTATGTTACTTACAAGCTTGTAAAGAGGGTTATAATAGGTTATTAAAAACTTATTATATTATAAGACCTTCCTGTGTCTTTTTATTTGTATCAAACATACATACATAACCTCCAAATTCCGGTAAACCCTCAAATTGGAAAACATTTTGTTATTGTTTTTCTAGTTTTTACACAGGGATAATTAATTGGACCAAAACGTACTAATAATGATAGTGGGTATGCCACTTGCACATTAAATAGTATAATATCATGACCGCCTTTAACTACAGGCCGCGGTCTGGTATAATTGGCAACATCGCAAGTGGTGTTGTTCAGTGACAGACGTCCCATAAGATAACATGGCAGACAGGTGACATCAGCTCATTAATTCGCACTTTATTGATTTAATTTTTAATTTATGAACATAAATTTATTAAAATATTGAAAATAAAACATACATAATTGAAAATTGAAACAATATGAATTAAAATCTATATCTGTACATTTTTAAGTGGAGTCAATATTGTCATAGTCCAGTAATCTTACGTAAATACACAAATACCATTAGTTGTTTCCAAAAAAATCAGCTGTTACAACACCACTTGCGACGTTGCCAGTTCGAAGGCCGCGGCCTGGAGTTAAAGGCGGCCGTGATAATATGGACAATGAAGGTCCCCACTTCCATTAATGGTGGCCCTAGTTTTGAGGTTATTTGCAAAACATAGCTGAAAATACATGTTTTATCAGTGTTTTTGAAGATTAGGGTAAAATATTAAATTTCCAATACTTCTTTTGAGGGGAGGAAGATGGGAAGACAAATTTCTTACTATAAAAATAAGATTTATATTAATAAATAAGCAATACGATATTCGATACGATATTGGCTATAGGTGTATCGATACGGGCATATCGATACACTCCCACGTATCGATACAAAATATCGATATTTTGCGGTCCTTGTATCGATATCTGTATCGATACGTATCGATACGCACATCACTACAGTAGACTCCCTCTTATCCGGTCTCCTCGGGACCGAGGCCAGTCCGGATAACGGTTTTTCCGGTTAAACCGACGCCTCAAAATCTTGTTAAAACGGACCGTTTAAATGCATACTCTATACAGTATTTGACTTAAATTTAGGAGAGGATTGTATTTAGACACGTAATCACTGGTCTCAAATCTTTCCCGTGAGAACAGTCGTTTCAGTACCGCCCACTTCCTACCGATCTAGTCCGGTTAAACCGATGTGCTGATAAAAATTATCCTGATAAAGTGATGTCACTTCTACAGATTGTAGTCCGGTTAAAAGGTGTTCGGATAAGAGGGAGTCAACTGTATTGAAATTCACACATAAGTTACCATCAATTCTGGTGAAGAACACACTTTAATGCCATAATCAATTGGTCTTTCCCCATGCAGCAATTTTTAAAGCTGGTATGGAGTTCCTCCCTCAAACACAGTAGACAACAACCAAACATTATGAAAATCTTTAAAACCCAAACACATCCTGGGCTGGGGGATACAATTCTACTGAGGTAAACTTCACTTTGAAAGGACAGGGATGGCAGCACTGTACCTTCTTCTTGGCCTTGCTGGTGACTGCCTGTGAAGGTGTGTCGCTAGAGTCATCCTCCAACACAGCGTGGGCCAGACTGCTGTAGCGAGCTCCGTCCACTTCTTCTATCAGCTGGGTCAGTGCCACCTTCATCTCTGGCACCTGTAATATCATTCAACCTTTCATTACACAAAATACAATCAACATTGAGTTGAGAGTGAGTGAATGATAAATGCCACTTCTTGTAATAGTAGGAATTTGTCGAGGTTATTTTGGATTGGATAATCAATGCTCTAAAGCCAGCTTACTGTATTTTTACTTTTTCCCAGTGATTCCATAGGCGGGATTATTATCCTGAAAACGGGAGATTGAGAGCATGAGCGGGATGAAAACGGGATTTTCTGCTATGACGTCTGTTTTTATTTTATATGCTTAATTTTAGCGAACAACTAACACCAATTTTGATCAAATTACTATGGAAAAATATAATAGCAATGTTTCACAATATAACATTTAGAATTAATAAAAAATCTTGCAGGATAAAACGGGATTTATCATGATTCAAAAGTGGGATTTCTGGATCCAGTGAGCGGGATTATTTCTTTGGTTGTGTGGAAACACTGCTTTCTCCCCCTATAACATAGTATATGGGGAAAGTATTGTTTTCGAGTTTTGAGTGGAGATAAATGTTTTGGGCGCCCTGAGCCCATAAAAGTAATTTTCGAAGAAGTCATGTCTGTGTGTGTGTGGATGTGTACAGAGCTATAATAGACCACACCTGTAGGCTAATTTTGATGAAATTTGCTACCATGGTACCTCCAGGAGTTTTTTTCATGTTTTTAAGTTTTGATTTTTTATGGTGATTTTCCCATAAAACAACAACAAAAAACAGATTTTTTTAAATGGCCCAAACGATTTTCAAATATAATAGCCTATGTTAGTCCTAAAAATTCTGAACAAAATGTTAAAAATCCCATTTCCGTAAGAATTACTCTTCAAAAGTTATTGCAATTTAGTTATTCTATTTTTCCCATAAAATATAAAAAAATCTAATTAAAAAAAGCCGGTTTTGATTAAAATTAATGTTTTAATGTCCTTATAATTCCAAACAAAATAATGCAACCCCCCATTCCTGGAACAATTACAGGTCAAAAGTTAACCGCTTTCTCATGTTTAAGGTTGTTTGCAAACTAATGGGAGTAAGTATGTGTCAGATTGCTGATACCGTTTATTTTATATTCCTTTAATCAAAAGAATGAATTAGAAACAAAACCATAAGCTACTCAAATAATTTGCAGACCTGAGACTGGGCCTTGCTAGCGTAGCTCTCAGCCCGTTGGTACATAGCTCCAGCCTCCCTCCAGCGGCGCAACCCAGCAAGTACCTCTGCAATGTAGAAACACCTGACCAACATAGAACACATGTTACAGTCACACTAATTGTTGCAAAATATCTGGAACAAAGAGGCCTTCAGTTATTACATTGAAAAACACAATTTTCTGTTCTTAGAAAGGACTTTTCTGGAATTTAAACTCAGAGAGGTAATTTCCAGCTTTAATATTGTGTAATATCTATGAATCAAGGCTACAAGGAAACATAATATAAATTTGCTTAGTAATTTGTCAAGACTACAGTTTTCAAGTATTGAATCACGAGTTAAATTTAAAGCACTTTTGAAACGTTTTGTTGTTATTTTGAAAGCGCTCACGGTTTAAATTTTCATAACCGGCCAGTAAGTAGAGCTTATGTTTCATTGAGAATCAGAATTACCTACTTCACTAAAGCTGACCTTACATTACCATGTCAAACTTGGAGGATATTACATTTCAGTGTTACTAAGTTTTCAAATTTTTAAAAAGAGAGTTTGAAATGTTTGAATATCATATCGTTGAGGTTGGAACGTTGGCAAACCTGAATGCTTTGTAAGCCAGTGTCTTGGCCTCCACCTCGCGTTGGTACTCCTGGTCCTCCTCCAGGCCGGGCAACTGCTGCAGTTCCAGCAAATGTTGCAGAATGATCTCGTACAGTCTGGTCAAGTCCTGCGGCTTAGTCTTGCGTCCCTCCGTCTGCAACAAAACAAGCTTTAGCTTCTGTTACTTCAACTATGAATAGAATTATTATGTCCTTAGAATCTATGAAAGGATCTTCTACAGTCATATTTACAATAATTTGGATTTAAACTGGCCCACTTCAAAAAAAGCCCCTTGTGTATTGTAGGGTAGATAGTATGACTGTGTCTTACTACTTCATGTGTCTTATTCATTAAATTGAAAACATACTACTGTACATATTCACTACAATTCTCAGAATAGCTTTAAAGCATCTTTACTCAATTCTACAGACAACATAATTTAAGATCTATCACACACCTAAGTATGCGTACTATCAACCCAATTGGGGTGAAATCGTAAACGTCTCCAGGATCGTGACAAGTGAATATTTTATAGTACAAATCCTACACTCATCTCCATTCATACTTGGCTTAAAATACCTACTATGTATGGTCGACATTTCATCGAACAGTATTAACAATCTTTACAAACTCTTTCAGTGAGAAAGAGCTTGGTTTGGCTTGTACATAAATTTGCACAAACCTCTTATATAAATGACTCCACCTGCACTTGGACAGAAAATTATTTCTCGCATAACTGATCTACTGGGCCGACTGTTAATCCTGAGACTTAAAATCCTTATAATTTTCCACTCTCACCTCAGACTTGTCAGCAAGTGCAGCCTTAGCAGCCTCCACCATGAGGTTGGTCCTCTGGATGGTCCTGTGTACCCGAATATGAGTCAGGTAGGAGACCAACAGTTGCATCGGAGTCACTGGTCCACCACTGCGACTCTTGCTGGCCTGTAACAACCAATCTCACAATAACACTCTGCACAAAGGAGAGAACTATGGAAGTACAGCAGAACTGTACCACCAATTATCCGAAATGCTTACAGAAAGAATTTTTAAAACAGTAATAAGAATCATTAAACCTCTCCTGCCTTTGTGGGCACATCATCATTGTCTCCTGCAGTCATGAAAAATCAAAACCCTCCTCCGTGATTGTGTGATTTATCAATTACAAAATCTTCACAAACATTTACCACAAATCAAATCAAATATGCTTTATTCATAAAGTACAGTGTTGTACATTGAATGGTGTCAACTAAATCTATCTTAAATTAATAATTTACAGATTTGCATATCTTGGATCATTATCTAAATCAAAAACCAAGAGCCAGGAAATGAAAATAATCAAAACTGAATCAATTATGTACTAACGCTAAGAGGGGAGGTGGAAAAATACTCTTCCAGGGAATAGAATGCTTTCTCTACTAAATATAGTTTTAGTTTTCTCATGAAATTCTTCCTGCTTTGTTCATTTCTGATTTCATTAGGAAGATGCTTAAAAAATTTTAATCCTATATAGGATTGTTTTTTTTTCATAGAATTTTAATTTACGTTTACTTGAAATAAGGAATTTTTTATGCCGAGTGTTGTATGGGTGATAATTTGTCTCAGAGGTGCTCAAGCAGTTTTTTACTAGAATAATTGTGTCGTAAATATATTGGCCATATACCGTTAAAATTTTCAGTTCTTTGAATTTGTTTTTGGTTGTTTCATTGTGTTCTAATTTCAAAATTATTCTTATTGCTGGGTCATTCTCAGAAAAGTAACCATTTTCATGTAACCAGGTTAAATTCCATATTTTCAACTTATATTTTAATTTTTTTTTATGTTATCAACAAATAAAATCCACCAGTTATTTACATAAAACATAAACATTTGAAAAAAAATAATTTTTTTTCCAAATAATCCATTGCACAGCGTATGACATGTCAACTCCGTGTTCCGTAATCAACTAGACTTTTTGGTTAGTGCATTGATTTTCCATAAAACTGGAAATATCCAAATCAAAATAAAATCAGTTTTAAGTACTGAATAGTATAATAATCTAAGAAACAATTACTGGTTATCTTCGAATTCACATTGATATAAGTAAAAAAAATACAAAGTTTGTAACTGAAAAATTTGTCAACTCCGTGCATTTTGATAAAACATTTGAAAATCCCGCCTTTTGTTCTTCTTTTCACTATTAGAGGTAAGATGTCCAAAAAGGAGGGAAACCTTTGTCTAGTAGCCATCTTTACCTGAGTGAGATTGTGCTATTTTATAGTAAGTTGGGCCAGTTACAAGTTGAAAAGGAATTGTGTCCTGCATCACCTGTAAACTCCGTGTGTAAAATACTGAAGTAAGTATAAACATTTTTTATTTAACTTGATATGGTATTATTATTATTTAGTGTTTGAGCCTTTCCAAGAGTGTTGGTGGAAACATAACCTCAAAATTGCAGATTTGGAATAGGTTTATAGCCATTTTGTCAACTCCGTGCATGGTTCAATTTGTCAACTCCGTGTTTTCATTATGTGCACGGAGTTGACAAATTTGCACGGAGTTGATGAGGACAGGCTTCAAAGGACAATTTGTATTGATGATTAATTTGTATTTATTTTAGAATGTGTAGTTTTATTAACTGTACCTACAACACTCTTACAAAATACTAAATGACATTTTTTCTTGGTTTATAAAATTCAATTCTTTTTCACTTTCACGCTAAGGTTACAATAGAATATTGTGGAACATATTTTATTTTAGATCATTTTCATGGCACTTTCAATCTTAATCAAACTGAAAATCCTTGCAGAGGCAAAACAAGATCAATTAAAATTTCTAAACAAAGTTAGTCTTAATTAATTTGATCAGTTTTATTAAAAAGTTTTTTTAAGATTAAGAAAAGTGTTTATTGCAGGATTGAAATGGCCAAAGAAAGAGAAAACCCATCTAGTCAAAGTAATAAGGGAAGGAAAAAATTAAGTGAAGCAGAGAAGAGAAAGAAAAACAAAGAAAGAATGAGAATGGCAAGAGAGGCGAAGAGAAATGATCCTCAGGCTTACGAAGAAATGAAAGTTAGAGAAAGGGAGAGGTATCATAGAAGAGTCCAGGCTGGGAAAATAAAAAAAATCAAAGATATGCCTAAACGTGAACAGCGAGTTGTGAGGAAGAAATGGCGAGAAAGCACAAAAAAATGTCGGGAATCCAGAAGGGTTCAAGAAGAAGCAGAAAGGCGTTTGAGGGAAGACTCTCCTCCAGCAAGCCCTGATTTTCAAAATGTACCTGTTCAGGACGACAGTCATCAAAAAGAGAGTGGAAAGAAGAGAGCTAGGAAAAATAGAAGAGATTCAAAGAACAAAATCAAAACATTGGAAGAAAAACTGAAAAAATTGAAGACTAAATGCAATCGATATAAGGTTATGTTGCACAGGCAAAAAAAATTGGCTACAGATACACCCAGAAAAGTAGTGAAAGAAATGTTAAGAGGTAGTACTGTGACACCAGAGGTAAGAAAAGCATTGCTTTTTGGAGAAGTCATTAAAAAACAGGTTCGTGAAAACTATTTGTCAAGGAAATCTCTCGCAGAAAAACATCAAGTTGTATGTTCCATGTCAGGAGAGATTGTTAAAAAATATAGATGCACAACTTATCTGTCCACTATTTTGGCAAGGCGACAAAGGAACAAGAAGAGAATAGAACAAAGCAAACGAAAAGTAAATAATATGCAGCTACGCAAACGAGTTCAAGAGTTTTTGTTACAAGATGAAAATAGCCGCCAAGGAGCTGGGAAAAAAGAGTGCATTACCCGAAATAAAGAGAAAAAACAAAAAAGGTACATGAATGATACAATACTGGGACTTTTCCGTAAATTTAAACAAGAAAATCCAGAAGCTAAAATTGAATACACTACATTTTGTAGGTTCCGGCCTTTCTGGGTTGTGAAACCAAAGAGGCGTGAAACATGTTTATGCACCCAGCATGAGAATATGGAGCTGATAGTTGGAAAGCTTCATCAATTGAAAATAATTTCAGAAGCTTCTTCAAATGATTTAATTAAAAGCACTTGCTGTGAAGATCAAAGTGAAAAGTGCCTTATCAGACAATGCATTGAATGCAAAGACAAAACTATTATTTACAAACTTGACGAAACAGATGAAAATGATGATACTTGGTATGAAAAATGGATTGTAAAAAAAGAACTGGTTGTTATAAAAGGTAAAGAAAAATTATGTCAAAAAACTAAAAAGGAAGTGGTTCGATGCACTAAGAAGCAGTTGTTAAACGTACTATTGGAATCCATTGACAAGTTCAAACTCCATGTAAATAATATTGTACATCAGTACAAAACAATTGACAAAATAAAGAAACACCTCCGAGAAGATGAAGTTCTAGTCCACATGGACTTTTCAGAGAATTATCAGACAAAATATCACTCTGAAGTACAGTCAGCCCATTTTGGTGGATCCAAAGATCAACTGAGTTTGCATACAGTAGTTAGCTACTACCGTCCAGCTGGTAGTGACACTGTCAAGACACTATCGTCATGCACAGTTACTGAAAATCTTCGTCATGATGCTGTAGCTATTTGTGTTCATCTAGACCCTGTGTTTAAAATGATTAAACAATTTGTCCCTGATTTAAAGTTTGCCCACTTTCTGAGTGACAGCCCATCAACCCAATACCGTAACCGTAATATGTTTTTCTTAATTGGGACCTATTTGGCAAAACAGCTAGGTGTTGATCGATTGATGTGGCATTATTCAGAAAGTGGGCATGGTAAAGGTGCTCCTGACGGGGTGGGAGGGTGCTTGAAAAGGACAGCAGATAGCCTGGTCAACCAGTCTAAAGACATAACCAACTGTCAGAGCTTTATCGACAATTTGGAGCAGCATTGCCCAAATATAAAACTGATGAAAATTGATGTGGAGCAAATGGATGTCATTGACAAGATAATTCCAGATAAACAAACTTTCCCCCCTGTGAAAGGAACCATGAGCATTCACCAGATCACTTGGTTCAAACAAGAAGCGCAAGTACTTCAGGCAAGGAAGTTGTCTTGTCTGAAAAAACATTGCAAAAACCAGAAATGTAAACACTATCATGTTGCCACTGTGCACATTCCAAAAGAATGTATCCTTTCTTACTTAAATAACTTTACTTTAACTGTTTTTACTCCATATGTATTTTGTGTATATAAGCTGGGGTGTCATCAAGTTGTGTGCAAGTCTGTGTATCTTCGCAAGAAACTTAACGAGATTTACAGTTTGTACAAAACTAGATGATCGGTAATGTTTAATGTTTTACTGAACCATTTTTATACATTTTATTAATCCTTGACTAATTTTAATAGCCATTTTTACTGACTTAATTCACCTTATAAGATTAATTTTGACATCACTTTGTAAAACATTTGCTGCGTACAAAAACCTGTTTGCTAGCAATTTAAATAATGTACTTTTACAAAATATCAGTACGTATAAATAAAAGAAATTATTAGTAATGTAATTAAGTTAGAATAACTAACTATGATTAAAGACTCTCCTAAGTTTTGGTTTTTGTTGATAACGATTTTCAATTTTATGTCAATAATCTTGTTATTTCCTTAACAAATAAACCAGCATCCAAAAAAACAAGTGATCCAAAAAAACCAAGGAAACAGCTGCACTACAAAGATGTATACACTTCTGATGAAATGAGTGACGAGGAACCCCCTACCCTGGGTGATGACCTTCCTACCATAGGGAAAAATGACATTGTCATTGGTGACTGGGTGGCAGTCGTTTATGATGACTTGTGGTACCCAGGTAAGATCTTTCAATAAATAATCAATAATGATGATAAAACTTATATAATCAATAATTTTATACTAAGCTTAACTGACTTTAAATGTATGATGCTCTTTTGAAATAAATGTGACTCTTGAATTACAATAACCTAGTTAAACTAATTGGCTATTTTCAGGCATAATTGAGCGTAAGATGGACGAAAATGTGGAAATAACATTCATGAAAAGAAATGGAAAAGTTCTGCATTGGCCTTCCACACCAGATAAGCAAACAGTGGCCATCCACACCATTTTGTGCAAAATACTTGAACCGCCACTGCCTACTTCTAGTAGGCAATTTAAGCTACCATCTCAGGAATTTCAAAGAATTGATCAAACCTTTAACAATGTTTTTTAGTTACAAAATTAACTAGTATTTTTACTTTTGTTACTAATAAATGTGTGCAGAATGGAATTTATGGTTGTTAATTTGTTTATCCCCAGGTCCAAGTTTTAATTCCTTGTAAAATTAGTCTTGCAACAGGTATTTAAAAAAAATAATCATTATCTAAGGTTATATTGCTGTCAATATGAGAATATTACTTCCTTAATAAACATAACTAATAAAGTAATTATTCCTGATATCCTAAATGTGAAAATAAAGTAAGTGATTATGATTTGTTATAATGTGAAGTAGTGTTAACCACTATTTGTGTCAACTCCGTGCGCACAGTGTCACCTCCGTTCAATTCAAATTTTATTTTCATTAATATTTACCAAATAAATTTTTTTGCTGTGTAACCACTATTTTTCCAGGTATCCTAGGCATATACAAAACACATAAAAAGTATAATATAGTTAGTTTTGACAATTTTGTTTGGAATGTTTTTAACAAGTGAAAATGGTTACTTTTCCGAGAATGACCCATTTTTTGAAGTTTAAGTATCCTATCCAAATTTGCTATTGTAGTTGAACCATAAAGGCACAAACCGTATGATAAATGCGAATGGACATTAGCATAATATATGTTTTTTAATGTTTTATGGTTACAAAAATAAGACATTCTAGAGAGTGAATATAGTCCTGAACATAATTTTGAAAGGAGTTTATCAAACATGTTCATCCCAGTTTAAATTTTGGTCCACAGTTAGACCTAGAAACTGTGTACTGTGTTTATGTTCAATTTCTTCTGCATTATACATGATATTTGGTTTAATTAACTTTTTATTTTGATTTGTTTAAAAAGTTAAAAAATTAGTTTTTTTAGGATTAAGCTTCAATTTATTTTGCTCTAGAAAGTTTCCAATGTTTTCCAATTCAACAAAACTTAAAATTTCAACTTGTTGCACTGACTCAGCCGATACTTTGAGATTTGTATCGTCTGCATAAAAACAAAGATTATTCTGAGGTAAACATGAGAGTGCACTACCAGCATCATTTATATAACATAAAAACAACAGGGGGCCAAGGATTGACCCCTGGGGTACACCACATTTAACCCTTTCACAAATTTCGGTAAAAATCCAACCATCTAAATTTTTGTTTATTGGAATTTGGTACGGTCCTAATTGATTTGTATGTTTGGAGTTCTAGGTTCTACTGTATGACAATAGAAGAAAGTTGAAAGTTAATTGGTCTTTTAAAACGCCAAAGTGGAAAGTTTCTAGGTACAATAAGACTTTAACATTTAACGTAAAGCTCATGATGAAACATAGGCCCTTGTTCCCCTGTTACATCACTACTTGTACAGTAGTTAATTATTTGACACACCAAGTGCCGCTAAAATGATCAAAACATAATGGGTCACGCTAGTATTACCGGATCATTCTTGACTTCTTCCTTGGCGGCTGCGAGAGCGTCCTTGCAATCCATCAGATGGCGCTCTAGCTGCTCAATACGCTCCGTAGCAGACGATGTACCAGTCAAACTGATAACATCACAATAGTGTCAATTTATCATCAGAGTGTGTAGGAACAATAGAGTTGTGTAAAAGAGCAAAATTCACATAAATTAATTTCAGAAACTAGTAAAAGAGATGAAAATCACAGATTCCTTAGCCTGTACACTGTGGCCCACCAAACGGCAGGCGTAGTCCCGGTGCGGCGCAGCGTCGAGTGAACCCGTTTGGCTTTCAAATATTTTGGTCTGGCAATATTTGACAAATGATATTTGATATTTAGTAAATGACATGCGGTGATGTGCTGTGTTACGACGAGAGTCGACATAGTTTGCTGGAGCACTCACAGATAGCAGCACTGACAGGAACTAGCCGGTCCCACTGTATTGCCAATTCGAGGGAGAAAGACGGGACAACAAACCGATTTCTAAGCTTGCCAGAAGGGGATATTACGGGGAAATTTACTACTGACCTATACCACAATAAAGCACCCATTCCTAGCTGAACGCAAACATAAAAAATACCCGCTTTTCCCGGTATGCTGCTACACAGAAATTGAATGGAAAGTAAGTGATGCCGGCACTCACCGGTGAGCGTTTAGCGTGGCAGAAAGGTGAGTGGTCCGCAGCGAACGTGTTAAGCTTGTAAGTACTCATCTGACATTCAGCAAGGGCTCAGTACACTACACGTGATCACAATTTGGCGATTAGATTAAGCTATATTACTGTGTATATGCATTCATACAACAAAACACAACAGGATATATTTTTTTGAGAAGATAAGTGTGACAGCTTTGCTAATCACTAAATACAGGTTGTTCTTTAGCTAGGAACATTAGCCCAATCAGTGATCAAGGATAGGTGGGTCCAGTTTGGATTCTTAGGCATTTAATTTAGATAGGTAGGTAGGCCTACTTGAATTAGCTATTTGGGTATTAAGAGCACAAAATACGTCATTGTCGCTCTAGAACTGTAGATGGCAGCACGAAGCTTCATCTGAGTGAGTTTAGGTAATTTTAATTTTTTTTAAGGTTTTTTTGTTTGCTTCCTGGTTGTTAACTAACGTACCGGATCCGCAGCTGTGGTTGGTGTAGAAACGACAACTGTGAAAATAAGCTGATTTAGCTAAATCATTCCCAACCTAGAGTGGCACTATTTTGCACACTGTGTACAGGTGTGGCAATGTGATCAATTCCATGCAGTGGTAGGAGAAGTATTTTTTTTTTAAACCCTACTAAAAGTGTTATTGGTGGCTTGGGTGCTACTTAGCCTCTCTGACACAATATTGAATAAGGTGTTTTCCAATTCAATTTATTAATATATTACATGGTTACACATTAACTATCTAGTTACATAGGGTACAAACTTTACCTGGCATCTAGTGCTCTGTCAGCCAGCAGGAACAGTCTGACTCTCTCTGGCTTGACAGGGAATGTGCGGCCGCGCCATGTAGTCTCGCTCAGCGCCTCGGACTTACGTTCCTTAGTCTGTGCCATGAGAGTCTGAAAAGAAAACAACACGGTGAACTACTACTGTCTATGTATAGGCCTACAGTAAAACAAAAAACAGTTATACACTTGAGTCCCGCTAATCCGAACACGGTTAATCCGAACGTCCGCTTAATCCGAACACGTTCCCGATATTAATTTTAATAAATTTGCACTATATAAAATACAATGGGAAAGGTAAAACATCTTGAAATGAAGTATAAACAGAGTAATCAATTAAGGAATACAATGGTTTGTTTATTACGTAAAGTTTAAATTTACAAATCGTAATAAAAAACAAATAAAACAAAGAATTATTTTGTAAGAAATATTGCACATACCGTACTGAAAAATTAACTTTGGTTAGGCCTACTTGTTATTGGACATGAAGTCCCGCATTGTCATTTGCTGCAGTTTAGTAAGTCTGTTTTTTGCCGCGTAGTTCCGCCATTTTCTCATGAACATCACGTCTGCAGGCGTGGCAGTAGACTGTTGTTCTAAGTAGCGAAGGGCAAGGTCAAGCGCTGCAGCTGCCTCATTGTGAGTCACTTTCTCCTCTCCTCCCCCGACCCTGGCTCGTCATCACTACCCTCCCCCTCGTCTCCCTGAACATGATCTTGCGTCACTGCTGCTACGATGTCATCGTCAGTCAGAGTCTCTGCACTAGTACCGTCTGCCGCCATCCATTCATCCACGTCCTCTTCTTCCGCGTTTTCACAACCGGGAATGTTTCGAATCATTGGTAATAAGTTAACTGGGTCATTTTCGGTAGGGGTTTCTTCGAAATCTAACGATTTCCACAACTTTTTCCACGATTTTCTTATCGCCCCAGTTGTCACATTTTCCCAAGATTCAGCTGCCCAATACACAACATCCTTTACGTTCGTTTGTTTAATTTTTTGAACCAAGGGAATTGTATCATCTTCAATTAGGGACTTTAAAAAGTGTTTGCGATACTTAAGCTTCAGAGCCTGCAAAACCCTCTGGTCCATTGGTTGCAATAATGGCGTCACATTTGGAGGTAAAAAGGCTGCCTTTATTTCGCCACATGTTAGTTCGTCGACATCTGGGTGGGACAGTGCATTATCTAGCAAAAGAATAGCACGTGGGGGAATGTCATTTTCTTGGCTAAACCGTTTAACAGATGGTATGAATTGGTCATGGAACCATTCTTTAAACAGTTTCCCGTCCATCCAGCCTCTCTTCTGGTTCCTGTAATACACTGGAAGTGACTTCATGTTTATATGCTTGAAGGCTCGAGGCTTAGCAGCTTTGCCTATCATCATAAGAGGAAGCTTATGGTTACCAGCAGCATTGGAACAAGCCATAATGGTTACTCGGTCCTTACACATTTTAAAACCAGGAGCACGACTTTCTGATTTAGAGGCCAAGCTTTTAGTTGGCAGTGCTCTAAAATTTAGGCCGGTTTCGTCGGCGTTATATATCTGTTGGGGGGAATAATTTCCTTCGCTTATTAAATTGTCAAATGAAGCAAGGTATTCCTGCGCTGCAGCCTGATCTGAGGAAAGTTGTTCACCGGTGACAGTTAGCTGCCGAATACCATGACGTTTTTTCCACCGGTCAAACCAACCGGTGCTGGCTGTGAAGGAACTGTCGCCATTTAACAGATTGTTCAACTGAATTGCCTTTTCTTGAACGATAGGTCCACTTAAAGGGGTTCCCCTTTCCCTTTCTTGCGAGAACCACAGAAAAAGCGCTTCGTCAACTTTATCATACAGCGACTGTCGCGCCGTTTGCCGATTTTCAAGGGTTACCTCTGAAGACGTTGTGCAATATTGTTGAAGTTTCGCACGGTTTTTTTTCCAGTCGCAAATTGTAGCTTTGCCAACGTTCAGCTCTTTCGCTAGTTTAGTCACACTTTCACCATTATCCAAACGTTTTAAAGTTTCCAGCTTATCTTTAAGAGTCAAAGTGTTATGTTTACGTTTGTTAGACATTGCACTTATCACACTAAAAACCCGTACACACGCAAATCCAAAGGTGACTGACCGCACTACGTAAACAAAAGCAGACTAGATCAAGGTGTTGTTGTGTTGCGATTCTGACAATTAAGCTAGGTGTATTGGTGAGGGGAGGGGGGCAGAACGGGGCAGACGTGTAGGCTACTGTGTACAGTCTCGGTAAGCAGTGCGTGCAGACGTACAGTCCGCACGCATTATCGTCACATCATACACGTCTGCCCACCCGTTCATATCGCTCTACGCTAGTTGATTGTTGACACGCTAGATATTGCACAACTGATGCGCTTATTTAAGTTTAACTGTTGTTTTTTTAATTTTGTTGTAGTAAATGGACTATTAAAATTGGTTTTTGTGTATTGCTCGTTCATATTACGACACTACGACCCCTTAAAATTGCTTCCATCTTGATTATTTACGTTATTTCGGCTAATCCGAACAATCAGCTAATCCGAACGGGGTTCGGTCCCAATTAGTTCGGATTAGCCGGACTGCACTGTACTTGGAATTTGAAAAATATTGTGAGAAAATTGATTATTTTGAATCTAACAGTTTTGTCTTAGCTTTACTACTATCTAAGATCTAACCAGCATTTTAAAGGGAGCCTTCAATAGTTTCAAACTTAGGGTCAAATCAGCAATGATAAGATCACTAAGATAGCATGAGTTTAACAATGGACACCATACTACAAAATTTGACTATGGTAGAGTAAAATTAGAGCCACGCTAAAAATATTTAAATAAAGGACAATTTTTGCAAAAAAATCCATTGATATTAGGTCTCGTTTGTACAAACAATAAACCACAAGAGCAATCTTAACTACAAAGGAGTTAGTTGGCAAATACTTATTTTCTGGCAGTAATAATTTACATCAATATATGCTGATTTACAAATATTAATACAGTATAGCCTCAAAAACCCTGCATAGGACTCAAAGGCAGCTGAGTATGTGAAAGTGCTCGGTTATTGAGAATAACAGGTTTTTAAAAAATTCTCAAAGTAAATTTTTTTAATACATCTCAGAAGACAGGAAATTTCAATTTAACAAAAATGAACAGAACAAACAATCACAAAAGTGTCAGAATTATCCAAAATGTTGACTTATTGAGAACTAGGTTTGTGAGACTTAAATGTAAATCATAAATCTCTTATACAAAACACTCAAAAGTTTCAGAGTGAAATATCTAGTAGCCTCTTCCGTAAGTTAAATAAGTTACTACAAATAATCCATCATTCTCAAACAGTATTACGACATCACATACTTGTAAGATCAGATTTCTCTTTGAAGGTATGGTAACTAATTTAAGTTTAGCTTTTACTTACATCCAAGTTATCTAGCAGATCGCCGTGTGCATGAGAGCGCAGAGACAGTAGGTCGTCCATGGCCGCTGCATCACCTATGTTGTAAGCGCAGTAACGCAGACTAGGCGCAAGCTCGTCACATCGCTGCTTGTAGACAGGTTGGTCCTCCTCACTCAGAGCAGAGATCAGCTTTTCATAAACCATTCTGCAGAAAAAATAATTTGATGCGTTTGATAAACAAACATCAAAAACTAAAATAGGGTTTACCTTCGTCAATGCAGTTAAAATGTTGGTGTAACTACGTTATGGCCGCTAATTCAGTCGAGATTTTGTAGTCTGACGATGGCATTGTAAGGCCGAAACGGCCGTAACGTAGTTACACCAGCATTTGAGCTGCATTGACAAAGGTAAAGCCTATTTTACTTATTATAAAGCTCAGAGGCTAAAACATGGATTTAAAAACATCAAAAGTAGAATGGGAATGTTATCTTCCAAGTTACCTTTTAAATACTTCTCCTTTGAGAAAGTAAACATTTAATTATTTAATAGCATCGGATATATTTTACTAACTTTAAATATACATTTGTGCTGTTGAAAGAACAATATTTTTTATGGTAGGATTAACAGAACAATATTATGAAATCTTTGAAAACTAACTTGGCTTTGTTGAGATTTTCCATGGCTGGTTTCCACATCTGCAGTTCAAAGTGGAGAGAACCGTGGATCCATGCAACATAGGCCTGAGCTTCAAGCTTTGTGCGAGCATCACACTTTTCAGACTGAAACGTCAACATTTTTTAATAAATAGTTAACTTTAGGTTCCATTCATATAATTATATCATTTTGAGAATATTCTTGACTTATTATTAACAAAATACATTTTTATTCATTTTATTCACATGAAGATAGAGAGAGATTTGAAAATATTCGTTATTACATTACAGTTATCATCTTTGTATGCTGTTTTAAGTCATTTTAGGCCTAGCTCGTTCAGCAGAAGCTAAGGGCCGGTACACACACACCAACATGGATGCATATGAGTACGACTGTTCATGTCGTGCTGGCATACGACAAAGTCGTGTTACCTCACGACAGTTGTCGTATCAGTATACATGCAACATAGGCCTGAGCTTCAAGCTTTGTGCGAGCATCACACTTTTCAGACTGAAACGTCAACATTTTTTAATAAATAGTTAACTTTAGGTTCCATTCATATAATTATATCATTTTGAGAATATTCTTGACTTATTATTAACAAAATACATTTTTATTCATTTTATTCACATGAAGATAGAGAGAGATTTGAAAATATTCGTTATTACATTACAGTTATCATCTTTGTATGCTGTTTTAAGTCATTTTAGGCCTAGCTCGTTCAGCAGAAGCTAAGGGCCGGTACACACACACCAACATGGATGCATATGAGTACGACTGTTCATGTCGTGCTGGCATACGACAAAGTCGTGTTACCTCACGACAGTTGTCGTATCAGTATACGACTCAGCTAACACAACAGCGAACTCTACTGGCTTTAGGACTACTCATTTGTGAGGATGTCGCAGGAGAAGAGGTCCTCCTTCTCCTTCTCTTGTTAAGGAGAAAATGTCGACGTAGAAGAAGAAGTATCCAAACAGGTCCTTTTTTACTGGAGAGAAGGACGAAAGGACTGTTTAGTGTATAGTTTGACCTTTCTTCTGCACAGAGATCTCCATTCCAACAACAGTCTGCTGTACCTCAGATTCATTCACGGCTTGTTCATCTACGACACTATCCATCACACCGACATTCCTCTGCCAGATTGCAATGCAGACTGGCGGGGCAGGGTCTGAGTTTCCCAGCGTGGCGCCCTGTAGTCGTATCCCGAGACGCACTAGTGTGTATACAACGACGCGACAGCCGTATAACGCCATGTCCCGCTACGACTCAAAACAGTCGTGAGCCCATACAACACGACTTGCCTGTCGGACCCCCAGTCGGTGTAGGGTGCGACTCGAAATTTGTCGTCCACGACTTTGGCACCTCCACGACTGCTGTCGCACTAGTGTGTACACCCCCATGCGACTTCCATTGCCTACTTTGTTTCTCTACTTGTCGTGCAGATATACGATTTCTTGAGTCGTACAGGGGCACGACAAAAGTCGGTGTGTGTGTACCGGCAATAAGTGTTGTTTGCAGACATCAGGCGCAAAAGGCACACCTTATTGCACTCGGAATTGAAATATAATAGGTACTGTAATATAATATAGCTTAACCCTATTATCTTTGGGAATTGAAAAAGATTCCGAGGACAGAGACAGATAAAGCACTGCGTTCCTGAGGTCAAGTACCGATCGGGGTATAAATCACCATGGAAGTAAGTAAGTAGGTATTAGGCCTATCTGGTTGAAACGTTGTTTTAATCTTACCATTTATATCCCTGCTGCAATTAGAGAAAGCATAGCATGATGAACATGGAATAATGGCCCTAAGGCTAATGATTCAACAATTGACACTCTAGAAGAAGAACAATTACTGCTGGTCTCGCAAGAATGGTTGTTTTTAGATGACGTTCAGTAATCAAGCATTTTTAATAATTTCAGAGAGCCAAAGTCTCAAACATGTCTGATTTGTTAGGGACTACTGCAAATTTGATTTTAACATTGAACAGCTATAGATCCCTCCAAGTGTCCATAGTTTAGGCCTTATAATGTCCACCTATTTTTGGCGCATTTGCAAGGTTTTATTAAAACGGATCTGAGAAGCTTAAAACAATGTTAATTCTAATGTTCTATATACCATTTTGTTTGGAAAATCATGGGCTTCAATATCATACATAAAACATAAAGAATATTTGTTTCAAAAAAATTTTTTAGGTAAAAAAAATTATTTTGGAAAAATCAAAAAAAAAAATAAGTTTGCGCTCAATGAAATTGTATAAATTATAGGCCTATAAATATTTGAAAATAGCCACTTTGTTCTAAATTTTATGAGGATTACAAATATATAATAATATAAGGAAGTAGATTTGCAAATAAATAAGTTATGGGCAAAAAACAGATTTCAGTACATAGCGTTTAGCTAAGAATGCATAGCCTAACCATAGCTAGGAATCTGGCTGATAATTTACATCAATATCACTACCTACTTCTTCAGGATCATCAACCAGCACTTCAAAACCACTTAAATCTTCTTATAATGCACCACGTATATCACTACTTTTGATTTTTAACACTAAAACAATGAAAAACATAATAAAACACATCAGTCATCGGTCCGAGGTTAACTAACCTGTTTACTAATATGCACGTCAGCTGTCTGCTACAATTACGATCGGCTCAGAGAACAAACAGCGCTTAGAGACAGACCTTTAGAAAGCTTAGAATCTAATGAAAAGAACGATACCTAACTCGATCCAGTTCAATCCGATTCAGTCAGTCATAGAGCCTTCGCCGTAAACGATGTTCGTGCGTCTAAAAATAGACGCGTGACACTACACAAAGAGTGTCGTGCGTCTACTTTTAGACGCGTGACCCTCGGAGGGATAGGGTAAACTTTAACCTGTAGAAAGCCATCCTTGAGGTAGTGCATTGTGCATGTTAATCATTTTACAACTTTGATCTCTGATAGTTGATGAAGCCTTATGATATAATTAGTTATTACAGTCATATTAATTAGTTAGGCTACATTAGTTATTTTGGCGTTTGGCAAAATGCAGTAAACACACACCTCGCAGAGTTTCTGCAGCTGCAGTGCGTAGATGGTAGCCTTGCGAAGTCTCTGAACCAGGTGGAAGCGTTTCCTCGGCTCAGTGTTGGCCTCCTGACGCAGCTGCATGGCGTGACTCCAGGCTCGCTCAGACAACATCAGTGGGATCAGCAGGTACCTAGCAAAAGCACAACCAGTTTACTTAAGTAATATAACATAGGATAGATTATATCTATAAACATTCATTATAATTAGTTTTTTTATTGAGAGGAGCGAAGCAAAGCTCTTTGAGATCCGACTTCAATGCAAACTTTCTAACACTTAATCTCAATAATGGCTGAACATATATTAGCCAAACTTACTAAGGTTTTTTTGACAAATGTTTGGAAGGTTTAGACAAAACCTTAACCAATTTAATTTTTAAATAATGCCTATATTTAATTTAAAAGCAACTCAAAGTTTTCAATTTTAACATTGGCCTTATGGGTTGCCATGATGGTTAGAAAATAACAACGTAAATGTAAACAAAACCAAATCATAGCAAATGTTAAAATCAAGCCACAACCTAAACACAGTACCTACAAAGGAAAAAAATCTGGACGATGACCACTGATCAAATAATACAGAGAAAGTCTTAAGTTTACATTTACGTCACAATTTGGAAACGAACACAGATTTGGCTACAGTATTTTACAGATTTGATTTACGTAGCTAAATAAGGTTATAATAAATAAATAACATTTATCTTACGTTATTGGGAATTAAAACAATTACATGAATCTGCAGTTTTAAATAAATAGGTAGGCCTAAATATTCTCAAATCAATATTTTTATCTAAATACAAGAAAATACCTAATTTGCATAGGAGTGTCATATTAAGGAAGGTTTCAGAATACATTCTTAAAAACTGCCTGATATTTGTAGAAAATTAAGACAAGCAAGAAACGCCCAAAACGCACAGACAAACAACTACATTCAGCAATGTTTTAAGATGAATGTAGAACACTTGCTTGAAAACAATGCTTTTTATAATAATGTTAAATGTACAAAATTTAAGAAAACAAGGTATGGGGACAACTATTTGTGCAATTATCTCAATGCAGACAAGTTTTTAAACAGTTACTTCCGCTATTTGTATGGATACATGTAGGATTATTTCTGACTGAATTGCAAAATCTGGCCAAGATTGAGAAAATGGTTTAGGTTCAAGGTCGCGTTCAACCAGAACTGTGGGTTTACCGAATGGCATTAGCAAGCAACACAGGAAAAATACTGATACAAAGCATGAGTATGTAATGTTCACATATTTACTTATGAAACTTGTTATATATGTTGATAGTTCTGAGACAAAGTGATAAGTTAATTTGATGAAATAGTTGTATTATATCTATAAACGATGTTTTTATTTATTGCTTTATTTAAAAAAAACTATGAAAGCTCAACTGGCTTTCACTGCTATGAAAACAAACCTAGTTATTATATCCCATACCTTTCATCCTTCACCTTCTCCTCAGTAACATCTCGCCGTTTAAAATGCCTTTTGTCTCCCTGGGGGATTTTCAAAACTTTCCTTAGTCTCCGGATCTTCCGTGTACAGTATCCCCTGGAACCAATTAAGAATGTTCAATGAAAGTGAAGAACATAGATGTTAAATATGGCACAAGAAGAGGTTTTAAACTGATTTTTGTGATTATACTTTTGTGTATACTTAAATTCAGGAAACCAACTAATGAAAATAAAAGCAACACTCACCTGTAACGCTGGTAGTCACTATGGCGAAGACCATGCTGTTGTTGAGCATCCTTGATCACTTTTAAAACTGCAGATTGCATTAAGAATAATATTCTAAAATATTGTGTTAAGTTAGGTATGGCCTACCGGTAACTTATAAAACAATTACGGTAATTATTAACAGAAATAATAACTGAAATACGTTATGTGGGGTGGGTACAAAACAAACAAAGCTGTTGATATAACTTTGCACGTTGTATTAATGTTGAAATAAGATGCAAATTAGGCTACAGTTGCATACAGTTCCCGCAGAACAATCGAATGAATGTATCGAACTATATGGTATCGTAATCAATCTATCAATTATTTCATTCGATTGTTCTGCGGGACACGTATGGAACTGTAGGTTAATCTAACTAACCAAATTAAATTATCAATATCTATATTTATTGTTAAGTTTTGTTTTAAGAAGAAACTCAAAGAAGCTGAGAGCTAACTGAACATTTTGAGCTATTTTTAAACACTTTTGAACTCCCTTTTTAAACATTGTGATGTGGTTGGTGTACAGAATTAAAATCCTTTTACAGTAGAGTCCCGCAAACTCGGCACTCGATAACCCGGCAGTCTGGATAACTCGGCCATCATCTGGCTCAGAAAATTAGTGATTTTTTGAGTCCGAGTTAAACATGGACTCAAGCCAGCTCAAGTCAAATCATTCTCAGCTCGTACAAATGATTTGTTTTACTATATCTGGTGACTTAATACTGACTTATTGTAATATAAATATAAATAAAAGAGGTAGTTAATTAGCTTACCAATTGTATTGTTCTTATTTTTAACCCTAGTTCCCGATAACCTGGCATTTCACAAACTCGGCACCCTTCCAGTCCACATTACGCCGAGTTTGCGGGACTCTACTGTACCATCAATAAAAATGAATTATTTGCAGAGGCGATGAATTATTTGTTATTTAACTTGAGTGAATTGAACCTTTGTTCAGTTGATTTTCAACATTATACCGGTAATTATTTAGTATAGGTGCCTCCAAAGGAATTTTTAATTTTGATGTCTAACATTGTAGTTTTTTACCTCCCGAATCCAAATATACTATTATTTTTCACCGCTGATAAATATTTCTCAAGATAAGTTATCGCCTAGGTAAATATTTCTCAAAAATATACAACATTAGGCTACAATAAACAAGGTAGGACGGATGACATTTACAAGTGGAATGAACTGTGGATGAAGTAAGCCAACAGCTGATTGTTTTAGCGAATTTCCCTATAGGGAAGTAGCTATTACCGTAGGTGGCACGGTAAGACCTAGGCCCGGGACCAATTTACTTTTTCTTTTTGATGTCCCCAGAGGCCAAAAGCACTATTCGTTCAAATTTTTATATATGTATATATAGCCTATAGATTTATATATATATAGCCTATAGATTTATATATATATACGTCTGTGAACGCGATAACTTGAGTAATATTTGTCCGATTTTGATGAAATTTGGTTTTGGTGTAATGCGGGATAAACTTGAATGAGTTCACGAACCAGCATGATCGGACCATGGGAACAGTGTTTTACGGAGGCTTTTATGGGGTAAAAATGTTTTTTCTCATTTTTGACCCTCAAAACACAAAATTTCTCAATTTCCCTCTAGACCTTGTTAAAGAGCTTAAAAAAAAAATAATTAAGTATATCAAAGTGTTTTTGTACGGTTATTGGTAACAGAGAATCTTCCAAAAATTGTAAATTTAAAATTCCCATGTTATTCTTATGAAGAATATTGTAAAATGATGTAGTTTGCTTGTTTATTGATATATTTGGATTAAACTTAGCCAATTTATTTATTTTATACTAAGCTATTAATATTTTACTAAAAAACTCACTTAATTAGTTTCCTTGTAGCAGCAAACCTAGGTACTCGTTTAACTTAACGTTATTTAAATAGATTTGATCGAAAATCAGTCCAGACAAATGGAAATTCGCTTAGTCGGCAGGTATGCTGTGGCGGGGGTATTTAGTCATAGTCAAGCTAATGGAAGTGACAACTTTATTAGCTAACTATGATTCTGCAATTTGAAAATCACCTGATGAAGTTACACTTTTCACTTTCTAAGACCAATAAGTTAACACATTTAATGTAGGCTAATTTATTATTGTTCAGTATTTTATTTTTATTAATGATTTATATTTCGCCATTTAGAAATTACATAATAAAATGGTGCTAAGTAATCTAACATAACTTAACCAAACCAAACCTCTAGAACAATAGCAAACTCTTTTTGATGTCAGAAAAGGCATGTCAGGGTGGTTGACCGTGCTTTATGGAATTTGTGACTGCATTAAGTCCTTTAAAGGTAGGTTTAGATTAAGTTAGGTGTGTTAAAGTTTAGGTTATAATGAATCGAGTTGTTAGTTTTATATCACCTGCAGACTGTTTTTGTAAAATTAAAATCCTGAGAAAAACACTTTAAATTACTATTATAAAAATGCAAGCAACCATTTTTGATCGACCAAGTTACTCTCTTCACTTAACCTGAACTTGTCACGGCGTAGCAGACTAGCACTTAGCGGCACAATATGAGTATTTTTGTTTTGTGTTCTAGTTGTGTAGTGAAGTAAAATGATGACACTGGCCTAAGTTATTGCCGATGACAAAATCAGAGTAAATTAATACTTAAAGTTCAAATGTTGTTTCTTCCAGTTGCTTGCCATTTGGTTGAAAACAGTCAGCTGTAAAACTTAGGCTTAGTTAACCCACAGTTCATTCCGCTTGTAAATGTCATCCGTCCTAACTTGTTTATTGTAATTTTGTATTTTTGTACAGCAATAGGCCTATATTGAGAAATATTCATCAGCTGTTGTGGCGAAATATTCTTTAATGGTATATTTGGATTCAGGGGGTAAAAAACTATAAAGTATGGTTTAAAAAAATTAAAAATTTGTTTGGAGTGACTTCGGGCCCAAGGCAGCGATGTCTTGGGTTCGGATGCTGGTCAGCGCCACAAACATTTTATCAGTAACTTACAGTTTTCACCTTTAGTACTGTACCTGCTCACCCCTTGCTTTGCTGTATACGTTCGACGCACAGATCTGTAGTCTATGTGGACGGGCAAATGCAAGGTTAAAAGAGGCCGCCAATCTCTTTTTAAAAAAAATCCCCTAACCTAAATTAGGCAAGTTTTAAGTTTGAAATGATTTGAACACAGTAAAGTCTATAGTGACACAATTAGTTTCAATGGTTTAAACTCATAGTAAGAATAGTCTAAAGTCTAATAACTTAGGCCTAACTTAATTTTATACTATTATGGCCAATAGCTAGGAAATCTTAAACATAACCTTAACATAAGGGTTGGTCAAAGGATACTTTCGAGCGTAATAAATGCCGTCGAACCTGATTCTGGAGTCTCCGTTTGTTTTGTTTGCTCTTCACCGTCGTACATAACTTCTACCATGTTTTATTGAGAGTATGGATTAACTTAAAAATGATAATAAACTCCCAAAACTATATTCTTCTTCTAGCAGAAGCGGACGCTAAAACGAAAAACCGAAAAACGACTAAACGAGTGACAGTGCCAGATTGACAGACAGATTCAAGAGTTCAGTCAGGCTAGGGCTAAGGAGGGTTTAATATGTTCAGGTTGGTTATGGGAAATCGCCGACGTGTGTTGGCATTGGCAGCTGTCAAATTCGTATGGCTGTGGGATGGGATGTTAGCTAGATTTCATGTTACCCGTTCGTTCAGCACACTGTATTATGTTTCTATTACGAAGGGATTACTGCGTTGCTGATGTAAATTTTTATTAAAAGTCAGACAAAGTATTAGCATAGACTAACAAACACAAGTAGACTTCTCATCCCATTGTAAATTTTGAAGCACGTTTTTCGTGTCTAGTTCATGTACGGTGACACTGGGCGCTATTGTCGATGAAATTTTGTTTCTATTATTTTAGGGTTAATTTCTTGATTTGTGCTTTACTGTTTGGTTATATAACTAGGGGACAAGTTATTGTTTATGATTAGATCGTATTATTTGGTTAAACGAGGTTTTAAATGGCTGTAATAACGGGAAACAAATTGTAAACAAAACACGACCTCTACAGAAAAACGGACAGAACTAACAATAAAATTGGCTTCAGCTGTTCCATAAGGATGGGAAATCTACTAAGGGAGTATGTTTTATCTATGGTATTAGTATGAAATATTAATGGACAAGTAACGTTTTTTTACAACAACAACAACAAGGCCCCCGTTGACCCAGGTTAGGGGGTAGGGAGAATAGCCAAAGGATGAGGTATACTTTATACTTTCTTATGAAATGGTGACCATACGAATGTAGGTATTTTAAGCCAAGTATGAATGGAGATAAGTGTATGATAAGTAGTGTGATCTTGTTGCATAGACTAACCAACCACAAGTAGACTTCTCATCCCATTGTAAATTTTGAAGCTCGTTTTTCGTGTCTAGTCCATGTCCGGTGACACTGGGCATTAGTGTCAACAAAGTTTTGTTTATATTATTCCAGGGTTAATTTCATGATTTGTGTTTTACTGTTTGGTTATATATATAACTAGGGTACGAATTATTGTTAACTAGCAGAGTACCCGTCCTTCGTACGGGGTTGGCTTATTAGTATAAAATGCTTATTGCACTTATACTCAAGCTTTGCGTATGCAATGGGGGAGGACATATTTAAAAAAATTTGCTTCATTAAATTTACGGTATACTTAAGTATTGCACATCTACCATAGCCATACCGTACTTCACCTAAATAACAGAGAAAAAAAATATTAAAAATTTGCAAAATATCACAAATTATTCATGAAATTAAAAACATAAACATAACTGTAAAGAGTCCAACTTTGACACTTCTCGCATTGCATATCACAGTTTTTTTTGTTGCTGCTTAGTTCAAATAGTGAATGGCACAAATTAACTGGTTTCAATATGCAGAAAAAATTATAGTGCTGCACCCTGTTAGTAAATCTTATAACTTTTAATGCTTTTGCTTATCATAGAACCATTTTTTTAGTTGAAACAGCTGACTAAAATCTTTAATTCCCCTTAAAAATGAATACGCATAAGGTTAACACGGGGAACTACAGAGCCACTGGGGCGGAGCCCGAAAGGATTTTTGGGTTTTTGGCAAGAATATGCCTAAATGTTAATCGGGAATGTGAGCTATCATCATGCCAAATTTCAGCCCAATCCGTCCAGTAGTCGTTAATGCGTGATTAAGCATCAACACACAAACAATCAGATGTATAATTGAGCGGAGCGAGCGAAGCCCACTTTTCAGGATTCCACTATGGAGAAAATTCTTTGGTTTTGAGGGATGTCTCACATCAAAGAAATAAAATGACCCAACTTGAATTTACTTCAGACATATTATCAATGAGGCAACAATTTTCTTCAGTTCGCTGGAAAACCTTCGTTGCAAACATATTTTAGACATTTTTAGTATATGTTTTATCTATGGTATAAGGGATAGAGCACGTTTAGTATTCGTTAAAAGTAATAATTTAAAACAAACTCAGATCAGAAATGTATGTGAACGGTTCAATTCGAGATATTAAAAATCAATTTTTAACAAGATTTATAATAGGCTAACTCTAAGAATGTTACTACCGTTAGTCTAATTTAAGCTCAAAGTTTTCCTCTACGTTATGTTTCATACTATGTGGCTGTGGCTCATCGAGCCGCACGGGTTCCCTAAGTATTATAATGTTCAGTCTGTTCATCAATATATTTCAATGAACGATAACATACAAATCTCGGGTGACAAGACTAATAATTCTAATCAGTTATTTTAATCTTTCAAAGCATAAATGTTTATTTGTATGGTATGCTATGTGCCAAAGCTGAGTAAAAATATATTGCTAATTTAGTGGGAATTACGTGTATAGGTTAGGCCGTCGGCTGAACCGGGGCGTAGCCGCAGGGAATTACGTGTGGAGGGTATAGGCCCTCTGCTGGACTGGGGGGTTTGCCACAGAGAATTACGTTGGAGGGTATATGCCATCGGGCTGGACCGGGATCGTTGCCGTAACTACAAGTACTAGCCCCTACTCCACTCAGATAGAAAGAGGGGTAGTCGGCGCCTTGGCGCGTTCCCGGTGAACTAGCGCTCTCCCTGGCTCTCCTCTGGCACATGCTCTTCTTCTTCTTTCTTGACTTGACCTATTTCATATTTTTATTTCCGTTCTAGTTCTGTTCTACTACTTCTCTTCTACTTCTACTACTACTACTACTACTACTCAGACACTGACAAGACGACAAGACAGACACAGTCAGTCAGTCAATGCTGTTTAAAACCTTGTTATTTTGTGAATTGTGATCGTGAAATTATTGCGTGTAGGTCTATAATAATGTAAGTTAATCTCTGACAATTTTTGTTTGATACTGTTACGTTGTGGACTTGTGTCTTGAAAATAATCACATTTTCCTTGTACGCTTGTAGGACTAACCTCAGAAAGTCAGACTCAGATGTTGTCAATAATTAATTGGGTAAGTTAGGTAGGTGATGTGTAGTGTAGGCTTTAGAATTAATAATTATCAACCTAGAGTTGAGTGAGTATACTGCGGGACACCTTTATCAGTAATCAGAGTCCTGCAAGTAAATTGAAATTGAAATGATGGTCCAAGTTATGCCTTGGTACTAATGTAGGCCTAGGCCTATGTTGGTGTCAGGTCAGGTAAGCCAAGCCTAGATTCTTCTCATACAAGAGGGTTTTCAGTGTCGACAAAATGGGAATAATTCAGTTTCGATCAGTTTCTATGATTGTCGATAATATGGAACCCACCTGTCGCTCTCCCTCTCCTCTGGCACGTGCTCTTCTTCTTCTTCTTGTCTTCAATGTCTTCTTCTTTCTTGACTTGACCTATTTCCTAAAATCCTATTTTTATTTTTATTTCTGTTCTGTTCGTTTCGTTCTAGTTCTAATACAGACACGGACACAACACACACAGTCAGTACTGTTTACAAATTTGTTATTTTGTGAATTGTGATCGTGAAATTATTTTGTGTAACTTAGGTCTATAATAATGTAATCTCGTATTTCTGACAATTTTTGTTTGATACCGTTTAGTTGTGGAGTTGTGTCTTGAAAATAATCACATTTTCCTTGTACGCTTGTAGGACTAACCTGAACCTCAGAAAGTTAGACTCAGATGTTGTCAATAATTAATTGGGTAAATTAGGTAGGTGATGTGTAGTGTAGGCTTTAGACTAACTTTAGGCGGCTAACTGATTGCTCTGTGCTTCGCAACGGGTACCTAACTTAGATAGACTAGGGTTGTTCCGATAAAATATGAGAAAAAAGAAAAATACAACAATTAACAATTGAAGTAGGCCTATAATAAAACAATATTAATAGGCCTATCGATATTTTCCCTTTGATAATCAGAGTAGGGTAAAGTAGCCTAAGTTATCGCTTGTTTGATATTAGGCTATTGCGTTTACCGGTATCAAAATAAAATGTTGGAGTACCTGTATCGGTTTTGAATGAATAAAGTAATTTAAACTTAAGTTAGTTCCTAGTTTAAACGGCTGTTGGTAAAATTTATAAAGGAAAAGTATTAACTATCATTAAGTTACTTAACTTATTAAGTTACTGTTATTTTCATTACGATTGTATGGATTTTGTCAAGTTTGTACCTAAGCTGTAGTTTTTAATCTTTTCTAAACTATGGAACAGTATTAAAATTAATCATTCTTTCATTCAATGTTCCCAGGTTGGGAGTCCTGCGTTCCGCCATCTCGTTTTGTTTCCAAGTCTTGTGTTCAAGGTGTCGTTAAGTAATTTACTGTTTGTTGCTCCTATTTCTGAGTAAAAAAAAATAAATGCCCTTGGCTTTGATTGCTTTGGTATATCAGATGTTTTTCTCTATGCTTTCCCTTTTTGGACATATAGCCTAGAGCACAAAAAACATACTAAGTTACTAGTAGGATGAAACTTTCCTAGGTATTTCAACCTCTACTGGGCTATCGCCGGATATTCCAGCCATATATGCTCAGCGTACTCTGCTTCGGAGAGGCAGAATCTGCACTGGTCCGTCTGTCTAAGCCCTATTGTCCTGAGGTACTTCCTCACATAGCCATGCCCTGTAAACAGACCTATCAAGAGGCTTATTTCTCCTTTTTGGAGGTGGAAGACGTTTTTCCATTCCTTGCTGAGAATCTTTGATTGTCTTGGGCTTGGGGTATTTTCCCAAACCTTTGCATGTTGTCCCTCTGCCCAGGCTAGGATTTTTGATCGGCCTTTGCTCACTGGGACTCCGCAGCATGGATCAGGCCCGACAAGTTCGGACTTAACCCCTCGCCCGCCAGTACGTCAGCCCTTTCGTTGCCTTCGTGCCCAGCGTGACCTGGGATCCATGCAAGTTGGACTTTGTTGTGTTCGCCCAAGGCCTTGAGGGCGTTCCTGCAGCTCTGCACAACTTTAGATTCCACCACACAGGCGTTGATTGCTTTGAGAGCAGCTTGGATGTCTGAGAGGATAAGAAACCCTCTCCTCTTCAGGCCTTTAAATCCAGCTGCAGTCTCGCACAATGCTCTATCGCCATGACTT